GCAAATTAATTACCTTTATTACCACCTCTTTTTGACTAGACATTACTCTGAAGTCTTACTTTGGTAATGCTAATACATAAAGGAGTCACCAGAATAAGTAGTCCTTCCTATGTCAATGAATGTCAGAGACAATAAAACAACATAGGCTGGACTTAAGCACACGTTCACTATTTCTAGGAAATAAAAGAACATCAGAATACCTGCACCTCAGCCTGCAAGCTTGAGAAAGCTGCCGCGTGCAGACAACCTGAAGTTGGAGATAGCGCAACCTCTCACAAATGCCTTTTCATCTCACAATGCACATGAAAATAAACTTCATTTAACATCTGTGACAAATCCTCACCCTTTTGAATTTATTATCTGTGAAGGCTTGTAAAAGGGATTTCTGGAGACTGGAATGCTCTACCCATGCATACAACAACTTCTGAAGCACAAGAACAGCACTAGTTTCTCCAATTCATCCTACCAATGTGACGCCGTTCAAATTGCAAAACCAGCACTTTAAATTCAGACTCTTTGACATGTTTTCCCTCTAGAGTTACTTTCTGTGATAAACAGCTCACCTGTGCACACACAAAGGAGATCAGTCAATAAAAAAGGAGATCAGTCAATACCCCCCCCCCAGCTGCTCTCAGGCCCATCACAGCAACCATCAGCCCAACCAAGGCCCATTTCCAAGAGCCTAAAAGAGCACAGAGGCATAAGGGCAGTGGGGAGCCTAAGATATGGACTCAGGCATCCTGTCCAGACCATCCCATAGGCCCAGGGCTGACTCCAGTCAGCCTCAGCCCCTGTGCCAGTGTGAAACCCACTGAGATGAGTCAACAGGACCAAGGCATGTCCTGCCCAGTGTAGGGGACACATAACAGATGCAAGGGCAGAACACGTCAGGATCACACAAGACGTATTATGGGACCATAAGCAGGGGAAGTCATGGATCTCTGACAGGAACAAACACGCAAAAAGAGAGAGAAGGCGATAAACATTAATTGCACGTCAGCACATTGCTGGTCGGTGTGCTTGGCTGGCCTTGCCCTGCACCTGATCAGGACAGGCTGTCCCACTTTCTATTAAATGCCTTTTTAATTCTTCCCTGTTTAGTGTGTGTGCCAATGTATGAAGGCGCGAGGGCAGCAACTGGAGTCAGATCAGGTCTGAGTATGATGCCTGGATGCTGCAGGGACTGGTGCCAGCCAGTACGTAAGTACATGAGCACGGTTTGCACTACAGACCCCTCCTCAGAGCAGGGTGACGCTACTGATGTTGTTCATGCTCATGTGCTCCATGTGTTCGTGTTAACCTGCGTACTTGACCATGTACAGGCATGCTGTGCATGCACAGGAACACACGTGCAGCCTCTCCCCCCCAGGAGGTTTGTTTATTCCTGCCTTTCTACTCTGCTGGTGCCCTCAACATAAAAAGGACATGGAACTGTTGGAACAAATCCAGAGAGGGCCACGAGGATGATCAGGGGACTGAAGCATATCCTGTATGAAGACAGGCTGAGAGTGTTGGGGCTGTTTAGCCTGGAGAAGAGAAAGCTGCGTGGAGATCTCATAGCAGCCTTCCAGTATGTCAAGGGGGCCTATAAGGATGCTGGGGAGGGACTCTTCATTAGGGACTATAGTAATAGGACAAGGGGTAATGGGTTCAAACTTAAACAGGGGAAGTTTAGATTGGATATAAGGAGGAAATTCTTTACTGTGAGGGTGGTGACACACTGGAATGGGTTGCCCAAAGAAGTTGTGACTGCTCCATGCCTGGCAGTGTTCAAGGCCAGGTTGGACACAGAGTGGGGCAACGTGTCTAGCATGTGGTGTCCCTGCCTATAGCAGGGAGGCTGGAATTAGATGATTTTAAGGTCCTTTCCAACTTTAACTATCCTATGATTCTATGATTCTTGGAGGTATTAGAAACACCACATAAAGCACAGACACATAACACTGGGCTCAGAATACCCAAAAATTGTAGATCGTATCCGTCAAACAGTTGCATGTCACATCACCCCTTGGAAACACAGTGCTCCCACACTTCAGAACACTCTTTCACATAGATTAACTCTCCTGGTTTATTTGTCCGGGAGTTCAAGAAAAACCAGACATACTATATCCATAGCATCGACTGCAAAGTACTTTGTAGTTTGGCTATTTTCTCTTTAGGAACATTTTAATGTCTATCAAAACCTACCATAGTTTCTTTGTAGAGTCCTAGAAACACGACAAAACTTGTATAATAAAGTCATGCTTAACAGTGTTACCTTTCATGGAGTAACACTCAATTTAAAAAAAATATGCACCACCATCAGTTTTAATATTTCTGACGCAGATAAAACTATATTTGTTCTTTCACCATTCATTAATTTGCTGACTTACAATTCCGGCACATGAATGTACCCTGATTTCAGTGCTCTGCCAATATATGCATATGTCAATAATCACACATCTACTGCTGTGTTTCCAGTTAATCTAATGATAAATAATCAGTATTATACAGGTTTGGGTGCTTTTAATCCTTCCTTCGCAAAGCACATTTGATTTTCTTACTTCATTTTAAACAGTAGTTTTGATTTTCAAATCTACCTCTGGAACAGTTTCCAATTACTCAGGCAATCAACCTCCAGCAGGCTTCTGCAAATTGCTTTACTTACAGACTGTGCTATTCAGGCACAGTATTTTGGCAGTGGCAAGTCCTAATATGAAGTGCTTTCAAGTACAAAGCTGTCTTCCTTCTTAAGGCCAGCTCTGTCCTGGATCGAGGGTCACCCTGTCCTGTGAAGTCCCTCTAAGGAATCTCTCATCAAGTGTATTGATTCTAGCACTGGTCCCAAGAGATCTTGCTGACCCTCAACTTTTCTGCTGTGTAATGTATAGAGAGGTGATTCCTATTGGCTTCAAAGCAGTGTTAGAATGTAGTTTTGAAAGACCATTGTAGAATTGCGAATATATAGCAAACAGGAAACCATGCTGAGTGGCCTGGCTACTATATGCCATCCATAAACCAAAATGAGGGATTTTCTTTCAAGACTTCTTTGCTTTACCACATTTACATTTAAAGAAAAAACTTTCATTTTTGTTAGTTCTCTGTTAAAATATATGGTGATAAATTTTTGAACTGAAGAGACATTGTCAATAATTTGCACATTCTACTAATTTTTGTGCAAGATAACATAGTTGTAGTTTGAAGTATTAATTAGTAGGGAAATAAATGATGGCTGTAAAAATTAAATAGAGCAGTTCGGGTTTTTATGCAAAAACCATTGCAGCATCTGAGCCTTTCTCAGCTGATATTTTCCGAAACACTGTTACGCGATGACTGCTCATAAACATCTTGAACTGATTCTGTCACCCTGAATGTGTTTAAACAGTATTCTAATTGCTCTTGGCAAACTGCAAAGTGATGTAGTTTTTTCAACTCAGTTAAGTGAATTTCTTCTCATAGGATCCATACTGCAGACACTCTCTCTATTTGAGTTAGGCTTTACAGTCAATAAGGTTTTGAGATTTGTTGGCCATTTCTGTTTCTAAATGATCTCTTCCACAATCCTCTGGACAGAACCAGAAGATTGCCTTACCTCAAGACAACCTCATGCAACAGGGAAAAACATGGGGCTATGTCTCCAGAATTTTTAGATGACTGTAAGCAAGCAGGGCAAAATTATTCAGTCAGTGGTCTCTGACTGCTGAGGTCCCTGAGGCTGCAGACAGTCCTCATTTTTTTTTCTGCTTGCAATTCTTCCTAATGGATATTTTTATTGGTGTTTATTTTTAATGTCTTTTTTGTCTTACTATGACAAATGAGCTGTTTCCTGGGTCTCAGTGTGTTTTTATGAATATCAACAAACAGTTCAGTTCCCTAAACATCTGAAACCCTGTTTTTAGTCAAATTGTAATTCTAGACCTTGAATATACTGGGCTACTAAACAAGGACCCACTTTTCCTTAAAAACTGGAAAAGAAGGAAAAAAAGTTCTCACTCGGGAAATCACACAACTGTCTAACCAGGCGTATGTGATCCCACGTGGCTTTGAACTTGCAATAAAAATGTCTGTTTCTGAGCTAGACAAAGCTACTGTACATGTTATTAAAAAAACCAAACCAAACCAAACCAAACCAAACCAAACCAAACCAAACCAAACCTGTTCTTTCCCATGAAAAAGCTAAAATTCAGGTCTTACACTGATCAATTTTTGAATGGTCTTCAAGGACTGGAAGAGAGGGTCATTTCACACTCAACACTATCTTCTGGCATGCTAGATCATTTTTGTTAAGTTCGTGCTTTTTGTTAAGTTAGAATTTTCTGGTTTTTGTTTGTTCTACCATGTCATTATACCATGTCATTAAGGAAACTGATCTAGAAGCAGTAACTTCTCCCATAGATTAATAAATTCTCCTGCATCTTTCTTAGCCTACAACTGTTATTGTTCCTTTCCTACCACCCTTCCTTTTTGGTGTTTTTTTTTTTTTTTTTTTTTGGCTTTGACGTTTTGAACAAAGAAAATACACACTGCATCCATTTGGCTGTCAAAAGTAAGTACTAAAACAACCTTCCTGAGCTTTATTTCACTCGTCCCTGATTTCGGACACTCAGCTTTCCCCACAAGTCACTCTCCAGAAACCCAAACGCCTGTGATGAGGGCTGGGAATTCGGACCCCAGCTAAGGCGCGGGCCAAGGGCTCTGCCTGAGCTACCCATACGGGAATCGCGGGCTGGCGGGAGGACCGCACATGCCGCCGCTGCCCGGCAGTTCACCGCACGGCTCTGACGCTGCCCCGACGACGCGGCACAGCGCGGGTGCCCCCTCGGCGGCAGGCGCCAGTGGGACGGGGCGCTGGTGGCAGCCGCGAGGCGGCCCCTGGCCTGGGGTGCCTCGGGCAGGGGGAGGTGGCGGGCCGGGGCGGGGCTGGGCGAGGGCTGCCCGGGAGCTCCCGCTGCCCAGGAGGCCGGCAGGCTTCCTCTTCGCCCCACACTTCCTGCCAGCGCTGCCCTGCTGTGCCGAGGCGTGCCCTCCCCTCACTGCCCGCGGTGCCTCCGACCGCCGCGCTCTCTCGCAGCGGGCGCCGAGGACTGCGGGGGGCGCGCCACCGGCCGCCGCCTTCCTCCTCGACGCGGCGGCTCGGGAAGTTGAGGTGAGCGGCCGCGGTCCTCGCTGTTGCCTGTTGGGCGGGGCTGGGGGCTGCTGCGGCCAGGCCTGCCTGGAGTCCCGTTCCCCGCACGGCGGCCTGTGCCGGGATTAGGGCAGGCGGCTGGCGGGGACGGGCGACGGGGCGTGAGGGACCCCGGGCCGCGGCCTGCCGCCTGTCCTTTGGCTGTCGCTGCCCGCCGGGCTGGGCTCAGCTGGCTCCACCAGCGGCGGGTGGCGAGCGGAGGCGCCGGCGCGCGGTGTGCGAGGCGGGAGGCGAGATGCGGCCAGGGCGGGCTCCGTCCCGCGGGAGCTCGCTGCTCGCCGTAGGTGGATGTCAGGTTCGTCTGGGCTTAGCCTGCGGGCATACCTGGAACTAAAGGCGCTTTATTGTAGTACTCTGTCTTTCTTTGTTCAGTCAGTCTTCCCTTTTTGGGTCTTTAGCATAGAGAGAAGCGTGTTTAGCTCTGAACAGTTCTGGTAGGTAGAAATGGAGGTAGACAGACTTCCACAGTGGAGGTAGAAACGATGATGTTAGAAATCAGAAAGGGCTGTAACAAGGCAGGGCGTGAGGTAATCTCCTCCAGGCTCAACGGTAAAGGTGGGACCAGATAGTCTTTCCAGGTGCCTTCCAGCCAGGGCTGTGACCTGAAACTGTTCACCCTCTTCTACCTCTTCTGAGCCAGCCTTGCTCAAGCGGCTCCCTGCTTTTCCTCCCCAGCAGGCAGAGCTGTGGAGTTCTCACTCCCGTTGGGGTGGCTGGTGGCTGTTCACAAGTTCGTGCCTCCAGAGTCCTTCCCAGTTACGCTTGGTGAAGTGTTTCACCCACCTCCTCAGGAATTTTCGTTCAGCTGCAGGTTAGACAGTAAACACTGTGTTTGTTTCAGGCACCCTGGAGGCTAACCTCACTTTGCTTTGTTGGAGTCCCTTGTCACCTTCCAGATGTAACTGGTCACGTTTGTAATTAACCTGGCCCCTGTGCTGACTCCTTTAAGATGGCGCTTCATGTTACGTCTTGACAGAACTTTCCTCATGAAGAGCTATTTGCAATCTTTATTTTTTACTTTTCTAGGGGGAGGTTTGTGTGTTTTACAGCGAAACCATACATGTAGTGTTACAGATGTGGGGGGGGACAGGAGCATAGTGGTTTTCTCGCCACATACTTAAACGTACTGTACTCCATTTCCTAATGTTGGTGCGGTTTTTAAGATCAAGAGGGTGGCCTGTTAATGGTGATCCTAACAAGATAGTTCATGTTCTATGAGAAAAATACTGGCAACAGAATATCTTCCTTAAAATAAATGAACGCTTTGAGGAAATGATGGGATCATTCTGGTATATGAGCTGCTTGTGTGATTTCGTTTTCATGCCCAGTATTTTCAGGTGGTTATAGTATTGTCAACAAGTACACCTAGACAGCATGTCCAGTAACTTCAGATATGGGTATTTTAGAAGATTTTCTCAAGTTAACTTTGGTCACCTAACTTCCTTCATCAGAATCAATACCTACCTTAAATCTCTAGCATCTGTTTAGCTACACACCTCTTGGGGATACCTCTTTAATCAGATAAAGAGCAGGACATCGTGGGTGTTGGTTATAGCTTCTTGTAATGTAGTCATTTGAAAGATGAGATACTTCCTGAGCTGAAAAATAATTCGAGGACGAGTGATAACAGTCATCCTCCCCCTGAAAAGATAGTGCTTCTTCAGTATCTTCATACTCTTCTGCTCTGTTACTTCTATTTGAAAACGCATTAGAAAAGGAAGACCTTTTCTGAACTGAGTGTCTAATGATGGTTATTCCTGAGAAGGGTGAGAGTGCAGCTGCTCAATGTGTTGTGCTGCAAATGCTTCTCCCCTTCCTGTGAAAAGTAACTTGGTAATTTGAACAAATAGTGACTCAATGACATCCTGTGGCATCTGTGTTCGATTTTTTTTTTCTGGAGGTGGTGCTTTGAAGTGAGCCAGTCATTCAAAGTACAGAAGTTTGAAAAGTGGCTGGAGCAGAGTGTTCCAGGAGGTTTTGTCAGTTTGTTTGGTTTTGGTTTTGTGTTTTTTGGTTTGTTTGGTGGTTGGTTGGGTTTTTTTTTTTTTTTTTTAATTTGTTTGGTTGTTTGAGCCTGCAGTTTGTGGATTCCTGTGCATGGTATTTAGAAAGTCTGTGGTCAGCAGGCTTGAGTTCATGATACAAACTTTGAATCTCCATTGGAAGAGCATTTTGTTTGACCTTTTCTGACTTGCTAACTCGAAAAAAACCCACCCCCAGTGTTGCTGCAGAGGATGATGAGAAACCTCCTGTGTTTTGTGGCAGTGTATTATACCATGTCTCTGACCTCTTAGAGCAGTCAGGGCACCCTTGAAAGCCTGAAGGTTGCTGTGGGACTGTGAATGGTGATACTTTGGGTAACATCCAGCTGTGAGTGAGACCCAACAACTGGATTTCTCTTTCACGGATGGTCACTACTGCATGTTAACCGTATATAAAACTGAAAATAAAAGGTTTTGGCTTATTTTTGTCACCTCTCTGTTTCAACCCACACCCAAAATATCACCTTGTTTTGAAGACTGGGTGCACAAGTATTTCCTCTGTGTGTGATTCGCTTTTCTAAGAATTACGTTTTTAAAAGCTTTGCCTAAGTGTTTTTGTTAAATAAAATCCAATTTCTGGTATCTTTTAGTCTGATTTAGTCATGTCTGGGTATAACTAGCTAACTGTTGTAAGTGAAAGAGGTTTTGATTAGTTTGCTTGGTAAATCTAGTATACTTTTATTCAAACAGTCAGACATAAGAATTTTCATAGAAACATAGAATGGTTTGGGTAGGAGGACACCTTACAGATCATCTAGTTCCAACACTCTCTGTCATGGGACAGGTGATTTCTTCCAGAGTCTTGTTGACAAATTTGGCATGAATCTGCAAAAGGTGGGAATAGCCCTATGTCTGCCCCTGGATTGGAGGAGGTTTCCTCAGCCTGGACAGAGTGGTTACCTATTGGCACTCTGGTTGGATGGGGTAGTGGATCCTCTCAGTTCTGTCTGGTACCCCTCGGGTCCTTGTTTTTTCAGTCCCTTTTGCCTGAGGTTATGGTCCTGCCTTTCCAAAGGGGTTTTACTAAGGCTCTGTCCATAATCCAAGGTGCAGACCTCCAAGGAAGATGCGCCTTCACTTTTCAGTGGCTGCTCCATCTGTACATGGCCTTCATGTGCTGCTCTGGCTTATGCAAGCTAGGTGGTGAAGGAAACAGTGGGTAGGCAGCTATTGCAGGCAGGGGTTATGGGACGCCTTTTGCTTCCCACTCTGTCTACATGCTGCTTTGTTGGGATTTTTATCTGTTCTGCTTATTCCTGGCTGGCAGGTGGTGTACACATACACAGAGCTGGATCTTGTGAGCAGATCTTGGTTTTCCTTCTGGAAATCTGAAATGCACAAATTGTTTTACTCTGCCTTGAATGTCTCAGTCTTCAGACTTTGTCAGCGTGGTTGTTAGTTATCTGTAGTGGAAGATCACTGAATATTAGCTATCCTACTTCAGGTGAGTACAATAAAAGAAGGAATTGATCAGAGAGACTGATAATGTATTAGTATGGGAAATAAAAGTGTGCTGTGTGTTAATTTGCTTGAATATTTCAGAGGCTAAAACATCTCCCTCTTGATGAAGCATTGCTAAGTTGGCAAAACAGGAGAATGAAATCTGCTGTTCAAAATTCTGGAATCTTATGCTTTACCAAATGTAGAGCATTATGCACAAGATACAGCATCTCATTTTTGCATCTGTAGTAAACATTCAGGAATGATATATTCCTTCATGTTGAGTAAAATAATTTTCTTACCCATAAAATCATAAATGTATTTTGTTTTCAACTCAGATAACTGTACCAAACCAGATGTTTCCTGGAAAACAGCATGTACAAATAATTTTCATGTAAATGTGTTTAACTGAGCTGATTTGCTTATCTGTCCTCCAAAATACATAGAATCATAGAACAGAATCATAGAACAGTTAGGGTTGGAAAGGACCTTAAGATCATAAAGTTCCAACGCCCCTGCCATGAGCAGGGACACCTCACACTAAGCCATGTCACCCAAGGCTCTCTCCAACCTGGATTTGAGCACTGCCAGGGATGGAGCATTCACAACTTCCTTGGGCAACCCATTCCAGCACCTCACCACCCTTACAGTAAAATACTTCCTCCTAAATTCTGATTCCTAAATTCTAACTTCCTAAATTCCTAACTTCCTGGATTCCTAATCTAACCTGAACTTCCTGTATTTAAATTTAATCCCATTCCCCCTTGTCCTGTCACTACAGGCCCTAATGAAGAGTCCCTCCCCAGCATCCTGATAGGCTCCCTTCAGTTACTGGAAGGCTGCTATGAGGTCTCCACGCAGCCTTCTCTTCTCCAGGCTGCTCCAGGGTACATGTGTGTGTATCCATGATCCAAAGTTAAAAAGTTTTAATTTTTAAACTGATAAGAAAGGGAATATCAATTTTGCAACTGAGGCAATGTTTTGGGTCTGCTCTATTTGGATAGAAGATCTTTCTTCAGGTTTCATCTCTTTCCCCTGTATTTTGCCTTTCCTTCTGTTGAGTATAAAAATATATTCCCAATGAACATAAATTACTTAAGAGCAAACAACACTGGATTTTCCAGAGAGAGCAATATATTGCAGTCAGACATTCCATTGGGAAATCAATGCTTTCTTGCCTGCTTGTTTTTAATAGCTGAAAACAGTGGAAGAGTTCCTGAAGACTGCTGGATTTGCGTACTCAGTAGGTATATCAGCATTCCTTTAACATGGTTTTGCACTTGTGCTTTAACCTACATGTTGAACTAATTGTTCTTCCTTTGAACAATATGGTTTGCTTTTAGCTCTGAAAATTGAGCTAAATAGCTAGTCCCATACATTTACCAGTAGTTAAATTCCAGTGCAAGTTGTTACTGCTGATAACATAAATGACTTTATTTCTGACCACTAGGAGGAAAATGCCAATTATTTTATTCAAGTAACACTTGGAAAGACTCACTATCTTGCAGTGCTATGTTTAGTATTTTTCCACGTTTTCAAGTGTATCAGCTAATATTCTTACAATGAATAACAGGATACAAATGACTTCATGGCAAGTTCCAATACACATTATTTGAAATGTAGTATTTTATTCCAGTAAATAAAAGTAAACTAATTATCTTGTTCTTAGCTCATGTGGCAGTGCTGATCTGCCACATTTTCCACCTCTCATTTTTGCCACTCTGGAGATCTGTGATTCTTGGTTTTCAGTGGATCTGTGTAAAGTGAGGCAGCTCTGTACTTCTCAGGCGCTCCTGTTAGGATGGCACAGCAGGAGAATAGTCTGTGCAAGATGTATGTATTTCTGCAGTTCCTAGATTTGTATTGGAAATTTGTGCATATCTCTGTGTGTCTTAGTCTACTGCATCTTGATTTTTTTTGTTTAACAACAAAAGTGCATGGTCCCTCCTCATGCCTTTGCTTTTTCTATTGACCTTACTTCAGCTGCACATGGCCCCATGGGTGTCCGCTGGAGCTCTACAGCATGTGTCAGTTTGCTCAAATAGCTGAGGTTTCCTTAGGCAAGAATCTCAAGTGTTGGACCTGTGCAGTCATGCATACTTGTTTTTGTTTGCTTTGGGGTTTTCTGTGGATTTGATGTTTGTGTTGTTTCGTTGTTTGTTTGGGTTTTTTTTGTGTATGTGTGTGTGCATGTACACAAAGAGGCAGCATTTTCAGGAATCCATGTTTTACTCTTAGGGTCCATATGTACCCCATTCCCAAATACAAACAAATTCACAGACTTTTCAGAGGACTGCATAGATTTGAGATTTTCACCAGTCTGACAGTATTGTGCACTCCCTGCTGAGGAAGGAACATGGGTTATATTTTAAACTGAATGCAAAGGGGATTTTGTGGAGGGTGCATGTGCAGACTTAGGTACAGGTGAGCTGTTAAAAGACTAAAGTGCTGGCCGTAAGTAGAATCAGCATTTCTGGTTCCTGTTAACTTCTGGCATCACTTTCTTCCCCTGTGATTACAGTCTATGTGCATGTGAAACCCTTTGAAAGTTGCTATGATGTATTAATTTTTAAGTATATGACAACCTCTGAATTGCATCTGTAGGGAAAAAGTCAGTTCATTTAAAAGAATGTACCTTGAGAGGCTGTATAAGGTATTAGTAGTAAATGTACCCATTTCAGATTTAGTTAATGCCTTTTGACGTATCTGTCTATGCTTGCTATCTGATTCATCTTCTGTGCTCATCTTTGTGGGCTTTTGTCTGCAGGAGTACAAAAAGAGAAAACATTGATCTCAGTGTACAAGAGAGCAATCTATTACGAACTGTGCCCAAGGTTCCCAGTGGAGTTTGAGCATTCATTGAGCTACCTGCTATTACACTCATTAAGAGCAGATTTTATCATGTCACAGGATGAACACAGCCTATTTCAAACAGAATTGTGACTGCCCTTTGCTCACACTTTTATATTAAGATGGGCTGTTTTGCAGAAGCAACCCAAGTGTCATAGCAACCAGTAGTACCCTTCATACTGCTCATTCGTTACAGCAAGGTTATTTGGTTTTTGTTAGGATCAGAGACAGCAGCTGAGGATCAAAACCAGCATCATTTAATGTAATTTACCATTGTATTCACGGAGTGTATGCTAATTATTTATTTATTTATTTATTTATTATTTAGATTATCCTTAAAGTAATTTGATTCAATCTAATTTATTTTTTTATAAACCTGGAAGCAAAAGTTAAAATAATATTGTCAGAGGGAGTAAGTTGAAATTGCCTGAGTTTTGGAAGCACAGTGCAAATTGCTCCTGAAACAGTGAGACTAGGCTTATTTTCTGACTAAAAGAGATAATAAGGAATTTATCCTCTATCTGTAGACCAGTGTTACCTGACCAAGTCTGGGTGTAATATATGATAAAAGCATGACTGGTTTGTTCTGTTCATTGCAGATTTTCATTATATTGCTAGGAATATTCAAAGCTTCCCTCTCAAGTCCATGTGAAGCTTTATGTACAAGGTGATGGCACAAGATGGCCTTTCTTGGTCTTTCAGATGGAAGTATCTAGACAGTGTGCCTTCCTGCCTGGGTATAGCCCGTTCAGCAGAGAGCAGTTTTGTTACTGCAGTAAAAGTTTCATTGCATGTATAAAGTAGCTGTAGTGGAGGATGCAATCTAATGTGCGTATATTAATTTGCAGGTTTCCACACTGTTGCAGTTCTTTGGGTTTGTGTTTTTCCTGAAATGGTAGGACTAGGAAACAGCTGCCGAGGGATGAAGTCTCCACCCCTGCTTGTGGCTGCGCTCGTGGCGTGCATCATTGTTTTGGGCTTCAATTACTGGGTTGCAAGTTCCCGCAGCGTGGATCTGCAGGTAACTTGCCTGTTGCTGTGCATATTGTCCTGTACTTGTGTGGCTAAAAGTATAGTCTAGAAGAAGGGTGCCTCTCCTGCATGTGGTGGGCAAGGAGCTTCAGCATGTTGTAGGAATTCTCATAAATACTACAGTTGCTTATCAGGAGTGGGAGATGGGGCGGTGAGAGGAATTCTGATTTTTAGGTGAGGGAAACCCAGAACTTGAAAGCCTGAATGTATGGTACTTGTTACTTATGCTCACACAAAGCATTCAGCTATCTAACTCTCCATTCCTAGAATCATTGAATAGTTTGGGTTGGAAGAGACCTTCAAAGGCCATGTGGTCCAGCCCTCCTACAATGAGCAGGGACATCTTCAACTAGATCCGGCTGCCCAGAACCGTATCCAGCCTTTGCCTTGAATGCCTCCAGGGATGACGTGTCCACCACCTCTCTGGGCAACTTGTGCTAGTGTTTTAAAACCCTTGTTGTAAAGAATATTTTCCTCACACCCAGCCTGAATCTCCCCTCTTTTAGTTTAAACCCATCACCCCTCGTCCTGTCTTAACAGCCCCTGCAAAAAGTCTTTTCCCATCTTATAGGCCCCTTTTAAGCACTGAAAAGTCACAATAAGGTCTCCCTGGAGTCTACTCCAGGCTGAACGACCCCAGCTCTCCTCTGCTTGTTGCTGCTGTTTGACCAATCAAGAAGAAGGGTGATCTTTTGATAATAAATGAATCCTTCTCATATGTGTCTCTGTGTAACAGCTATATGTCACTTGTTCGTGAAAGTTAGGTAGTGTTGTCTTCCTCCTGCTTTTTCCACAGTCTTCCGGGAAAACATACTGATCTGAGAGATGAATTTTCCCTGTAAGTCAGTTTAAGACCAACACTGGAAAGTGCAGTGATGTCAGAATTGTTTGGATTAAATTCTTTTATCTTTAACTGAAATTTTTATAGTCTCTGAAAAATATACTATACTGTTAATTTATTTAAACTGGGAAGAGTGTGTCTACGTGTGTGGCAGGTGTCCCTGGCCAACACAACACTTTGATGACACTAGAATTGTTAGTTCTGTGAAATTTGGTATTCTTTGTATTGGAGGAGAGTCTATTGAGAATAGTCATTTTTCATGGGAGGATCGTAATTTCTATTTTCTTGGGCTAATTTGCTCTTTCTCAGGGTCGGATCATGGATCTGGAAGGCAAAGTCCGCCGTGCGGCAGCAGAGAGGGGTGCTGTGGAACTCAAGAAGAATGAATTCCAAGGGGAGCTAGAGAAGCAGCGGCAGCAGATTGACAAAATTCAGTCCTTGCACAGCTTTCAGATGGAAAATGCCAACAAGCTACACCAGGAAGAGAAGGTAGGGCCCAAAGGTGTTTATACCTGTTCACAGTTTTCTCCGAGACTGTGGTTTACCAATACACTCTCTGCAACAGAGTAAGGTTGCTCAAATGTTCCAGCTGATGGGCATATGGTCTGTGTTGGTGTGGCAAAACATTTTATTTATGTGTCATTGTCTGCTATTGCACATTGAATGCACGTTATAGCTTTCATTGTATAACACATGAAATATTAGAAGTTACAAGTAGCAACACTGGAATAAAACCTCTCCCCCAGTTCACATGTTGGTGAAACTCACCATCTGTTTTGGCATCTTTTTGCATTCCAATTCTGTCCCGCAAGGAATAAAAGCACATTCACGAGTTAAACAGAACAAAAAAACAAACAAAAGGTGAGGAGAGGGCAAACAGAACTAAGTATTTGCTTAATTTTTGCTTAATTTACTCTACAGTCTCTTTTACAAGCGAAATACGGTTTAAGTTTTGTTTTTATAATCAGATTTTCCTTTAGTCAAAAGTGTTAGGAGTCAGCTAGCTGGACATGCTGGCCACAGAGTTCACAGCATAGGATGGATGTTGAGAGCTGCTGACAGGTGCTCACCCAGGCATTTTAAGGAAGGTTGGTGGATGAAATGTTTCAGCCAGACTATGGTGTGTTACCTTTCTGCTTCAAACTACTGTGGTACTAGACAAATGTAGCTGACATTACGTGATCTGCCTTGTAGTGGTGGTGGTTTTGAGTCTAAAGGACATGTAGGAGCTGTCGTCCATTAAACCTGGCATCTGTGCCAGGAAAAGAGTTGGAGAGTATTTTACAAAACCAAAACTGCTGTTGGATGTGTGGGTGGATGTGGTAGTCTGGGAAAGAGTCAAAGTGGTTCTTGGAAAAGCAGATATTGCTTCTAAAGTCTCCTGGAGTTTCCTTCTGAAAGTCGGTGACAGGGAGGAGGGAGATTAATGAACGCATTCACACCTGGAAATGCAAAAGAAAATACATTAATTGCTTGTAGAGAAATTATGCTGCTATGTTGGTGAGACCGTTACCACAGGGGTGAATGATAAGGCAAAAGTTACAGGAAAAAATTACAAGGCATCTTAGAAATAAACTGGATTAGTTGTACTGTGCGGAGGCCACTGGTGGAGTTCTGGATTGTGGGAAAGCCAGGCAGAGGGAATGAGGAGGGTGACCAAAGCTGTGCAGAGTTTCTCTGCAGGAATCCACAGTGTAGATTCCAGGCTGGACAAGAGCCAGCTGAGGAGAGCTGTTGTGGGCATATCTAGGATCATGAATCGTGTGGAAAGTGCTCATGGCTGGGAGAGGCGAGGAATGGTTGTTCTCCATCCACTGTTGGGCTTCAAATGCAGTCAGCAAGTTGTAGTTCAGACTGAGCAGAAGTGCTCTTCATGCAATAGATAGTGAAGCTGCAAATGTGTGACATCCATAATTCCCAGTTGCAGTGGGTCTTTGTGGGTTAAAAAGTGACTGGTTAACCTTGAACAAACTCTGTGCCACTGCCCAATACAAAGGCATTCAAGTCTGGCTCCAGATGTTCCTCAGCCAGAAATAGATGCTGTTTGGCAGATACCGATACTTGGTGTTTATTTGGCATCCAGGTTGCTGGGCAAGGTGGATTTTGGGGTTGGTAGCTCTTACGTTCTCTTAAGTGCTTTTTCCTCCATCATCCTAAAATGCAATTGTTCATTAATGGAGTAGTCTATGAAGCTTGCTGTTGAAACCCCAGGAGCTGATGCTATAGGAAGCATTAGGTATAAAGGGTACGGTGGACTCATTTACTGTCTTCTGCTTTTTTGTGACTGGAGAAGAGCATGTCTCAGGAGCCTCAAGTGATAGGACGAGTATGTGTGTGCCTGTGCACCACTCTGTGGCAAATTCAAGCTTTGCTTTTGTTGCTCTTGTAACGCATGAGCAAGTATCCTGCACAGTAGTAGTTTGTTTTCCAACGCTGTGATTAAAGAGTAGGGAGAGTTGTTTTACTGGGAACCTCTGTATTTGTCAAAAGATGCCATTAGCCAAGTTGGCATGGATTCCCCCCCTCTCATTTAGGAATGCTGGTGATAGGGAAGAGAGGGAAAACTTAGCTCTTTGTGCTAAGGATCCTGATCTGAAGAATCTGTCCAGGATCAGAGGTTATTCTACAGAGGGATGTAGGATATAAGAAAAGACTATTTCTGAGTCCTTTTTTTGTGTATCTATATTGGTATGTGAGTGTGTGTTGTATGTTAATGTGTGCATATGTAACATACATGAGCACGCATATCTGTTTTTTTGGCTTCATGGATTTCAGTGGAATCCAGGATTCCTGAGAGGCAAGTAATGAATTCATCATTTCTAGTTACTGGAAACTTAGTGCTTGAACTAAACTTTGTTTACTCCATGGGGGTTAGTAGCAAATATTTACCTAGTCAAGGAGAATGAATGCAAATCCAAATCACAAGTCTCTCAACTTGCCTTAAAAATAATACAAACTGTTTAACTAACTAGACAGATCTTTGAGTGATAAACGTGATTTTATTTGGTTCTACATGCTCTTAAAGAAAAATGAAAATGCTTTCAGCTGATGTGTAAGAGTGAATGGTCTGTCTTGAAAACCCATCTGTTTCAGGATAAAAATATAGTTCTGCTGATTATAGAAAAAATCTATACAGGAACAACCATTTTGAGTTAAATTTGCCTTCTTTTCCAGTAGAACTGTCTCTGTGCTACTTAAAGGATGAGGACATAGAAGGTAGGAGGAAATCAGAGCCTGAAATACCCTGTGGGCTCACCATTCACTGAACCAATGTAATCCTGGGAAATTGCTGTTGTAATCATTATTCTCTTAGGTCTGAGTACGTATGAAACACTTTAGTCACCAGTTTGCTTTTAAAAAATCTGCTTGAATTTTTAAGGACTAATACAGGTTCGTCAGATGGCTTGTGGAAATCCATACAGAGATAGACTGAAGAGATAAGAGAGCTTACATGAACTCTTAGTCACAACAGATAAGTAATGAGGAGTGCAAAGGGCTGTTTGTAATCTGTAAGTGATTTTCTAAAGAACAATATTCTGTATGTTTGTTATTCAGGACTCGTAATTTCTGGGATGTGCACAGCTGTGATAGTAATTTTGAAGAGTGTAATAGGAGAACAATATGTGTCATCTCTCTTGTTTTTAACAGCTAGAGTATACTTTTTTTAATTTTCTTTGGTTTTATGTAATTCTCCCACAGTTTACATCTTGTTTTGCTGAGGAGAGGGGCCGAGCTTTGTACATTATATGTGAAGCACGTCACTTCCCTGTTGCTCAGTGTCTTTTAACACTGACCACAGCTGCTCTTGGATCTCGTCCCTCTGGGAAGATTTAAATTCCCAGCACAGCTTCTGAAACAAAATACGTATCAGTATGCAGAGAGTTGGCTCCACTCAAAAGAGATGACAGTGGCAGGGAGGGAGGGCGAGAAGAAAGCCTGCTGTGAAAAGAAGATGCTTATGTGTGTTTTGTTTTTATTTTATAAACCGATGTTGCATCTTCTAGTTTTCAAAAAGCTTTAAGGAAAAGCAAGTGCTGCCTTGTCCCCTGCTCTGCTTGCCATAGCATGATGTTACTAAATTAGCAAAAGAGATCAGTCTGCTTACTTGTAACTGCTACAGCACAGGTTTAGAACACTACCTCTGTTTAAAATACATTTTCACATGGTAAAGAAAAAAAACGGATGGCCTGGGTCTATCTGAACTGTAGGCATCATAAGTGTGGAAATTCAGAGTATGTGTAGCTTAAGAGTTAACTACTGGCACATTTCTACCCCTTCTATAGCAAAATGAATGGACAAAAAGGAAAGCAGAAGGTACATTATGTATACCTGTACAGATTTCTATCAGGATTCTCACGTAACAGGATTCTGTTCTGTTTACACTGCTTATTATTTGGGTTTTAATGGAATATAACAATGACATGGAAGTCCTGTAGCTGTACAGGTCTTATTTTCTCCATTCGGCCTGCTATTGCCCTGCACTTGTAAAAGTAGTTTTTTACTCGTATGTGTCAAATTCCTCTTTCTTCCGCTGAGAGTGTAAGAAATTGTCAACTTTACTGTTTTGATGGTTTCTGCAGTTTTGAGGGCTGACTTGCACCACATCATGGTGCATGGTCCCTCATCATGGAAAAAGAGAGTCTAGACTGCTTATAGCAGAGGGTGTGATAGAGTCCAGATAGCGTCCCTAATCTTTGCCAGGATCACTCTTCAGGAAGAGAGTCGGTTGGGGTTTTGGAAGGTTTGGTTGGTTTTATTGGTTAATTTTCACACCCACCCCCTACCCCCCCCCCTTTGTTGAGAGTGAGGAAAAGTCTGTAATTTCTGAATGGAGTTCAGTTCAGTGAGAAGTACTTTTAAATGAACAATGTCTCCTCCATTTTGGGCTTGAAATTTGTTTTGGCCGTGCTTCAATTGGCGCACCTTCACTGAAGTATACGTGAGTGTGCAGTACACAGGCCAACCTAAAAGAGAAATAGTTCCTTTGAGATCTTATTTATGAACTTTTTCCCCAGCTGCTAGTATGTAGTTAGCCATTAATTTTGTGTCCTAGAATGAAAAAGCCTTTTTGTGGCTGTTATAAATGGTTTCTTTACTCCTGACGATTATTTCAAAATGGTGAAGAAGAGTACAAAGAAAACAACTGATGATGTGTGTTACTAGGCAAGTGTGTGTGTGGGGAGGTGTGCTTGCAAAAATAGAGAAGTGGGGTGGAAGTCTCCAGATACAATTAATAAATGAACAACAACTAATCAAAATGTGGTTTGTGCTGCATGGCCAGAATGGTGGTGGAGAGCAGAAGCGTGCAAAGCAGGACAGCTCCTTTTCTTTGCAGTAAGGACTTAGGTCAGTTTGAGTTAAATAGTTAATCATTAAATAGGTGCCCTTTTTCTCCCTGATTAATTATAGATGCTTGTTTCTGCTGTTTTCTGGATGTATAGATCTTATCTTTCAGCTTGCTGTGTTCCTGCTTGGTTCTGTTCATAATCAGCTGATTTACTGATCGTGTAGCTCATCTTTTTCTCTGTGTGACAGCTATATTTGTGAATGCATACACATTTTTCTTAGGTTTTAGTTCTGAAGCCAGTGTTTACTGTCATCAAGTTCTTTGTCATTTTATTCCTTTTTCCTGTTGCAGTATCTTACGCTTTTATATACAGCACGTACAGTCATTGTTAGAAAGCACAAACATGAACTCAATGTGCTTGGATTTGCTGATTTTTAATGTTTTAAGGACACTACTGTGTAAGGCATTAATCAGATCAAATGCATGTATCAGAGTATGTGTGTGTTCAAAACATATGCTTTGAAATGATTTCTTCACAAGTACTTCGCCTATGTTTTGGGTTTTGTTTAAATAATAACTTTAATTTTCGTTTCTGAAGTAGAGTGTGACTTAAATAGACTAGAGTAAGAGTAAGAAAAATGTATCTCTGATGGTTGTCATTAAAAAAAAATTATAGCCAGCTAGAGCAAGATTTTTCCATCACTGTTGGTGGCAGTGTGGCTTTATTTTTGGTATTTCTGGAGATCTGCTGCCTGTAGCATTGACTCCGGACGGGAAACTGAATTTTCCTCTGTGATGATCAGAAGGATTTCTCTGCAAGACTGGTTTGCAAATAAAATAAGCTGGCTCTGAGTCACGGAGTTGCTTTGTCACAGAAGGTAACATTTTGATACTGTGATAACAGTGCTGGATTCTCACTTCTAGGGATCATAGGTGTTACCTTGTGGGCTGAATGAGGTTTAAAATGCCAGTTTCTTCCTAGAGCTGTGTTTTGGCATGTGTTTGCTAGTACTTCCCAGCAGGTTGTTTTTTGGTGTGCATAAAACCAAAAAGAAAATAATGTCTGCCAAATTCACAGCCATGAGGTGAAGATTAGTTGACTCTTGGATGGCAGTAGGAGGCATGGAAAGCCTGACGTTATGGGTACAGTTGGATTGGAAACTGACAGGCAGAGCACTGCCCTGTAAATTAGTAAGCAGTATTTCAGGTTTAACAGCTAACAGTATTTTTAAACATGACCTTTTTTTCCTGGACTCTTACCCACAGACTCACGGAGGTGGGTGTGGCATTGCCATGGGAAAGTGTTATATGTAGCTCGTACAGGCCAAAGCATGCTTTTTCCTTTTTCTTCCTGTTGTGATATAAGGAACCTTTTTCATATGGCACATAATTTTATTCAGTTCAGCTAATTATAGTCATTATTGCCCTAATATACAAAACGTTTGATACTTGTCTGTTTTGCTACCAGATAAGTGGTCCTGGTATTTCGGAGTTTTGTATTAAGAGGGGAACAACCAATCAACCAACCAAAACCAAGGCAGAACAAGCTGTAGGAACATAAAATTTCCACATCACACTGATTTTTCTGGTCCATTGACAGTTTGTGGTAATGGCTAATGCTGGAAACCCTGAAGGTGTGATAATCATGGAACAACTTGATTATGTTGCCCATGCATTAGCAAAACATGTCATTTCCACTGAAACATTAATTTCATTTCCCCAAAAAACTGAAAACAAATAAGAGTACTCTTTGTACCTGTCCTAGGAGAAAGGAGAGGGAGAGGTATTAAACAATCCTAAGTATATGTTGTTACTCACATTGTTATTACTGTTTTTTCCTTTTCAACAAAGTAGCAAGGCCTTTGCTCTTGAGGTTTCACAGTGGTGTTCATGGACCAGCTATATATAGAATGGCATGGGAATATTTTTTTCCTAGGGTTGAAAAAGCTTGCCTGTTCATTAGTACATGAATGACTGCCTCCGAACTGGGACTCTTTAAAGGGTCAATAAAAGACAAATCTAGCCCTCTCCTATGTGCTGTCTCACTCTGATTGATTGAAAGCGTAGCTTTTTCTAATCAGTGGCACTTATTACTTTAGTCTTAGTGAAAAAAGACACTGACAGCATTTCAGAGTGACTCAGGCAGGCAGAATGGATGCAGTTACTTCTTTGCGATGAAGTGGTGTGGACATACGTATATACATCAGTACCTGAGTGGAAGCTGGGGACTTGGTATACCCTGATCTGGGACCCCTGCAGAACACTGGTTTTTCCTGGGAGGGGAATAATGAGGAAACTGGCAGTGAAGTGCAAGAAAGTGCTCCTAAGATTGGAATGGATTGTTTCTGAAGGGTCAGTGGATCTCATCTCTTTGTAGTCTTAAGCAGACTCTTGTGCACCAGACTTTATGAATATTAAATATAAATCTGCATTATCCTGACCTCTGGCGTGCAGGAATTATTTTCATTTAGGCCTGCCTTAATTCTGTCAATATTCAGGTGTTTTGGGGCACGTGTATGTATGAGTTGATAGAGGAAGCTTGGTGAAAGACTGGTCCAAATGTTCGTACGTTGACTGCAGCTTCAGAATGAGAGAACAATGTGAGGGAATGAAAGGTTGTCATCAAAGAGGGAGAGGAAAAGTGGTATAATGCAAGGGCTTCATGTTGCTTTTGTAGAGTTCTTTTATGCTGAATGATTAATGCTTTCATAGCTCATTCTTACATGCCTTAATGCAGGTGTATTGATTCCCTGGTGAGAAGGTTGTTGATGGCAAGCTGTGCTATGCTGTATTCTTCCTTCAAGGATAAATACAGTAAATCTAACTGTGATTTGCAAGCATGAGATTAAACCAGAATAAAGCAGCAAGCAATTTTAGGGCTGGAATCTTTAAATTCCTCCTGTTTTTAAAGTGTAGTGATATCTCTCCCCTGCTCTTTACTGGGAAATCTGGGTAAAAATGAGTGTTCGTAATCTACTAAACCTTTAGAGCAGCTAGAAGGTTTTGTGTTTGGCTGTAACCCAGCACTGCAGAAATAAAAGATCTTGTTACAAGTGCTTTGGTTGATGTTGTTTATAATACTACTGGTAATGCAGGTCCTTTGCAATTAAAACAGTGGTTTCTGTTTCATTCCTTCCAGGCAGTGCTGATGAGTAACATCACAGTAAATGACCGATTGATCCAAAGCCTACGAGGTACATACATAATACCCTTTTACATCGTTTTCATATACATTTTTTAGTCCCCTGTTTTTAAGACTTGCATTTTTTTTTTTTTTTTCTTCTGAGAATCCTGCCTTTCTTCCAAGTCATGGGGATGGTGCTGGAGCTGTGGTGACTTAGATCCTGCATCTGCATAGTTCCAGTTCACTGAAGTGTCAGACTAATCTACCTCAGTAGTAGAAAGATTTGTCCATGTAGTGCTTGTTGTAGAACTCCTGACCCATATGATATAGAGTAATAGGGAAACAAACTAGCCTCTATGTGCATTGTTTATACATTTATTCTTCATGCTACTTTTTGCAGCATATTCTTACATTCCTCCCTGAGGTGTTTGGGTCATGCATTTTAGCATGGGGGGAATTCACAGACTCCTATATTAAATAAGGAAAACTCAGTCTAATTAGTTTCTGTTCATGTTGGTGCTTCAAAATTATTGTTAGCAGTTTATTACTCAGGAAGTCCAGGGAATGATCCTAACTTCCAGGAGCAGGTAAATGTGACATGGGGCCTTCTTCTTGTGTTCTCACACAGAGCTTTCTATCAGAAAGAAAACTGTAAATCATAGATCCCACTGTTTTTGAGAAACATAACTGTAAACTGTGTATTATTCAGGGAAGCACTGGAAGCTTGTCTTTATTGTAAGCTAATAAACATGAATGCCATTTCATACTATGTTCTGATTAGTATTTCATAGACCTAAAGATTTCCTGGGCTGAAATCTGTAAAAGCAAGTGTTTGTAAACAAATTGCAGTATTCCTTATGAAGAAACACATGTCAGAAATCTTTGTTGCACCATTTTTGTTACTAAGTTAGGCTGAAAGGCTCTTCCTACTCAATCTTGTGCATCTGTGATGAATAAATTTAATAAGTATCTGTGCATTTGTACACAAAATATAGTGAGAAATTATGGATGGAGTTACTGTGCTTACTATTTGTCTGTTGTTTGATACTTGTAATATATGTAGGTATATATGTGTGCATGTGTTTTAATGTATATTTTAATTCTGTTTTGGTCAGAACAATTGAAAGAGTTACAGACAGAATATGGAAAGCTACAGCTGAATGTTTATTGGTTTCAGAAGAACCAGACTAACCTTCAGAGGAAGTTCTCATATGACCTGTGAGTATGTTCTTTATAAAAGTGGCTTCTGGAGTTGTAGTTGACTTGTGATAGCCCTGTTAGTAAATGTACATTTTTAATGATCAAGTAACATATGACACATGTTGTAAAATCGCTAACAGTTGATCTTGGAGAAAAGCATTGACCTTGCAATGCTTGGCGTCTTGATATCCAGACGCTTCTCCCACATTTCTGATGTTCCTTCCATTGCAGGAGAAAGGTAGCGATATTCTCATGTAAGAGTGGGGTGAGGAAATTGGAACACAAAGATGCTGAACTCTGAAGAAGTTTAAGAACTAAGGTATGGGGATACCTGATGAGAAGCTGTACCTCATTATGCTACCAGAAGTTTGGGAGAATTTCTGGTTCAGTTATGGTCAGGGCCATGTGTTCTGCATTTCAGTTCATACCTAGTAATCTTTTTTGTTATAGGTTTCCCGTTGAATTATAAGGCTTGGGTAACTGAACAGAAATTCTTGCCAGTTTTCTTATCAGTTCTTATCAGAAATACATTAGGAATTTCTCCTATGTTCTTTCTGTCAGTAAAGTTCTTGTTCCCTCCACCTGTCTTCACATCCTATTATATCTTCCCTCTGGTGCACAGATACAAAAAAACCCCAGAATTTGTTGTTTTTATGTTCTCATAATTATTTTCCATCAAGAATATAATTTCTGTGGTGACAGGTATTTTTCCAGCAGCCCTTGTTTAGCCAAATTTAATAGGAATTACATCTAAAAGTTTTAACATGGCAATCAAAGAATTTGAATTCTGCAGGCCAAACTTAAAATACCTTTTTTCTTTCCTTCCTTCTCCCTCTTCCTCCTGCTCTGTATAAGAGTTAAGGATTAGTATTAGTGGTTTTGGGATACTTATGAGTTACCAATTATTAGATAGTTGTTTACTTCCCCACCACCTCAGGCATTGTTACTCATTTAATAAAGATGACGCAGATGTATTGTCTTAGTGCAGTTTTGTTTGTTGTGTACTGTAGTTAAGCACTATCTCTTTGCTGTTTAGTTAAATGACAGGGCCAGGACTCCTGGACCTCTGTTCATAGTTCTTTGCTATTTAGAGTCTCTGTTTGCCAGCATCTTCCTTGTAAGGCTGAAATCAGCACGAATAAATGGATCTGTAGCCACATATACATGCTGTATGTACAGTTGCTCTGTCCATGAGAGGTACATCCTTGAAGCACTGGATAGCTACTTGCAGGGAAGTGATACAAGGCAAATGTAGTCAATCTGGTTTCTGAAAACTTATGTCCATGTCTGGCGAAATGTTTTTAAGTATAGCTCTATTGAGGGAATCATTTGCAAAGCTTCTTGCTTGTGGGAGTGTACTGTACAGAATCCCTCTTCATTTAGCAGAAGAAGGTTGGGTTCTGAGCATACAGAATACAGCTTTAGGGTCAAGGCTGGCTCAACGTGGAAAGCTAACCAAGTTACAGTGTTGAAGATGACTTTGCTTGTGTCAGGGTAGATGTAGAGACAGACGTGATAATTCAACCATGTACTAGTTTGAACAGGGACTCTGCTAGCTGGTCTGCCTCCAGTCTGTCTCCAGTTGGTCCTGAGGCAGGTGCACTGTTTCCTGCAGTCTCTTCACAGGAATCCATAAAAGCAATTATCTCAGTCAAGGGACTATGCTTTCTTCACTAGCTTTGCTGAATAACTCTGAAGTGTTCATTTTCTGTTTCTGGGTATTTTTGTAGCTATGCAATTGAGGAAAACAAACTTTGCACTCAAATTTTCATGGAATGATTTATAGCTTGGGCACCCTGCAGCATTCACAACATTTTAGCAGGAACATATAATTATCTTTTTTAAATGTTGTTTGTTGTGTACTTTTAGGGGGGGGATGCTGGAACATTAATATTTCACTGTTGTAGTAAGTTACATTACTATGCATTGTGTTCTGTTAGTTATAGAAACAGACATCTGATTGTACGTGGTTACATACAGTCCTCTGCTGCCTCTAAATGCTTCATTAATACTGTAATTTTAATTGCTTACAACCTTTTCCCAATGTGATTATGGGCCTAGAAAAACAAGTATTAGACTCAAAATGTTACTTTTAAGTTGTCTTACTTCTTCCCCTCAGTATTAGGAGTAAACCAACATCTGTTTATCTTCAGTAAAGCTTGGCAGGAGGGGACATTAGACCTGCTTTTCTGTTATACCAGTATTTCTTCCTTTGATGTCACGTTGTAGGTGTGCAGGTTTTGCACCTTAAGTATCATGTACACTTTGCCCAGCGGATAAAGGAAGAGGTGGTATTGTGGTATATGGTTTTATAATCACTTTTTTAATACAGTTGGGTATTGCACAGTAGAAGACAGTGATAAAATCGGTTGTGTGTGTGGAATAAGTAATAATACAATCTTTTAACTTGGAAGGCACAAAATTAGTTGTTTTTTTTTCCTCATACCTGAGTCTTGAAGTTTCATCTTAGCTTTTTGTTTGGTTGGTTTTGAGCAGGTTTAGTGGTCTCCATGCACAAGTTGCCAGGAGTTTTGTGAGCTTACTGCTTTTGTGTGCAAAAAAGAGTGCACGCTCCTCAGCAGACAGCATACTGAGATACCCTTGGTGGACAGTGCGCAGTGCTCACTGCTCACAGCAGAGCTGGTTCAGCACAGACTGACTGCCAGGACTGATCCTTCTCTCCTGCAGCAGCCAGAGAGAAATGGAAGCCTATGGGCTGGTCTCCATCCCTTGCAGTGTTCAAGGCCAGGTGGGACAGAGTCTTGGGTGACATGGTCTAGTGTCCCTGCCCAGGGCAGGGGGTTGGAACTTGATGATCTTAAGGTCCTTTCCAACCCTAACCATTCTATGATCCTATAGTTCTGTGATCTTCTGATTATATTTCAGTGTTCAGGTGCATTTTGATTCCGAGGAGCTTTGTTTGTTACACAGTCACTTCTTTTGAAAAATTCATAACCCGTAAAAGAGTGGATGTTATATGCTTCTGGAGAACTGTGCTCTGTTTCCACTGTGCAGGCCTAAAATCCAGCAGCCCTGGAGGGAAGAGGCTGCACGTGTGTTCCTGTGCATGCAGAGCATGCCTATACATGGTCAAGTACACAGGTTAACACGAACACATGGAGCACATGAGCATGAACAACACCAGTATCATAACCCTGCTCTGAGGAGGGGTCTGCTAGTGCAAACCGTGCTCATGTACTTACGTACTGGCTGGCACCAGTCCCTGCACCATCCAGGCATCGTACTCAGACCTGATCTGACTCCAGTTGCTGCCCTCGCGCCTTCATACATTGGCACACACACTAAACAGGGAAGAATTAAAAAGGCATTTAATAGAAAGTGGGACAGCCTGTCCTGATCAGGTGCAGGGCAAGGCCAGCCAAGCACACCGACCAGCAATGTGCTTACGTGCAATTAATGTTTATCGCCTTCTCTCTCTTTTTGCGTGTTTGTTCCCGTCAGAGATCCATGACTTCCCCTGCTTATGGTCCCATAATACGTCTTGTGTGATCCTGACGTGTTCTCCCCTTGCATCTGTTATGTGTCCCCTACCCTGGGCAGGACATGCCTTGGTCCTGTTGACTCATCTCAGTGGGTTTCACACTGGCACAGGGGCTGAGGCTGACTGGAGTCAGCCCTGGGCCTGTGGGATGGTCTGGACTGGATGCCTGAGTTCATATCTTAGGCTCCCCACTGCCCTTATGCCTCTGTGCTCTTTTAGGCTCTTGGAAGTGGGCCTTGGTTGGGCTGATGGTTGCTGTGATGGGCCTGAGAGCAGCTGGGGGGGGGGGGGGGGTATTGACTGATCTCCTTTTTTATTGACTGATCTCCTTTGTGTGTGCACAGGTGAGCTGTTTATCACAGAAAGTAACTCTAGAGGGAAAACATGTCAAAGAGTCTGAATTTAAAGTGCTGGTTTTGCAATTTGAACGGCGTCACATTGGTAGGATGAATTGGAGAAACTAGTGCTGTTCTTGTGCTTCAGAAGTTGTTGTATGCATGGGTAGAGCATTCCAGTCTCCAGAAATCACTTTTACAAGCCTTCACAGATAATAAATTCAAAAGGGTGAGGATTTGCCACAGATGTTAAATGAAGTTTATTTTCATGTGCATTGTGAGATGAAAAGGCATTTGTGGGAGGTTGCGCTATCTCCAACTTCAGGTTGTCTGTACGCGGCAGCTTTCTCAAGCTTGCAGGCTGAGGTGCAGGTATTCTGATGTTCTTTTATTTCCTAGAAATAGTGAACGTGTGCTTAAGTCCAGTCTATGTTGTTTTATTGTCTCTGACATTCATTGACGTAGGAAGGACTACTTATTCTGGTGACTCCTTTATGTATTAGCATTACCAAAGTAAGACTTCAGAGTAATGTCTAGTCAAAAAGAGGTGGTAACAAAGGTAATTAATTTGCCAGTTCATAGCATGCCTGTCTGCCAGTCTTCTTCCTTGCTGGATGTGAACTACAGAACGGATTGTTGGCTTTTAAAAAGCAGGGTGGAGAAGGACGAAAGTGCAGTAAGAATGACTTGCTGTTGTAGAGGGCACACGGTCTGAGAATTCCTCTGGATTAGGCAGTGGTTTATTTGCAACATGAGAAATGGAATATGCCCATCTGAACCAACTGCTGCTACAGCAGAGGTACTAACACTGCCAGAACCAGGCTCAGAAGATACTCATCTCCATTCTGTTAGTGAAGGGGAGGTGAAATTTGCAGTATGTTGACCATACTGTTGCACAAGGGATGCCAAGAAAGCTTTTGCATGTAGAAGGATCTATTTGCAGAGTCTGTAACTGATGGTATACATAGAACTCAAAGTCATCTCAGAGGGGACAAAAATGAGAGAGAGGAAAAGAAGTTTAAAAAACACAACAAACTCCTCTGCCACTGTTAGCGAAACAGCCCGGTCTCCAGCCAAGCCTCATCCTTGGGCATGCTCTCCAGAGCAGTGGGTGCTGACAGCAATGGTTTTTCACCACATTTTGTCCCAGCGTGATACACTTTTCATCCCCACTCAAACACACTATTGCTTGTTATTGTTCACAGTGGGATCAAAAGCATACTTGGGGTCCTGTGAGGACTGGTTTCTCAGCCTTCTGCATGTCTGTTACGGTGTAATGCTTACCTGCTTTGTTATTCACTGGGTTTTGTTCTTCTGCTAATATAAACCGAAAGTTACAAACAGGTTATGAAGAGAGTGGGGGAGAAGGTTTTATATTTTTCCTCATGGCAGCCATTTACCCTGAAAAACCCAGCTTGACCTGGGGCTTGCCCAGGCACAAAGGAGAAAGCAGTGCCCTGGCAGATTCGGGGAAAACCCTTCTGCAACAGCCTACCTAGAGGTTATGGAGCTGTGAGGGAAAGGCAGACTGCAGAACTGCAAACAGAAGACCTCTGGTGTCACACAGGTTACGGCACTAATGGCATTGTGTAACTATTGAAAGCATGTAAAAGATCACAATACTTGCATCTTTAGGACATGCTTTTGGAACTACTGGTGAACTCCGTTTCTGTAACGTATGCTCCGTTAAGTCTTCCAGCACTGCGTTTCAGTGAAATACGGAGAAAGGGTGCTCTCTTTGCTAGCAGTGGCTTACATCGATGTTTTATTTCAGCCACTACCTGGTTGTTTCCCCTTCCTAGCTGAACTCCAGATACTCATTTCTGTTGCCTAGAAATGCTTCAAGGATGAAAATTGATCCTGACTTACTGAAATCGACAGGTTAGTGGAAGACAAGAAAATTCATGTAGCTTGTTGAGCCGGTCTAACAAAAGCAGTTTAAATAAATTTTTCAGTAGAACTTTGCCATCTTCGCAACATGTTTGTCCCTAGGACTTAGCTGGTCATTCAGTCTCTTACTTCTGACTTCTCAAATACAAGCACAGATAATAGGACTAAAAAAGTAATAAAATGATTATAAAAAAGATCATTTTAGAAAAGAGTATTTTGGCATTTTAGAAGAGTGTGGGTGAAAGTTGACAACTGCTCGGCTTTTTGTTTTCTCCAGGTCACAATGCATCAACCAGATGAAAGAATTAAAGGAACAATGTGAAGAAAGGATAGATGAGCTTACAAAAAAGGTTACTGATGCTCCACAAATCAAAGAAAACAAAGACTTATCAGAAGATTTGAAAAAAAATAGCCCGGTATGGTTGGGTAATTTCTTAAAAATATTTTTGTTTGTGATTCCTGGGCAGTTTTCCACTATCTCCAACTAACCTTAGCCCTTCTCAGTAAGTTCTGCACTGCTTTCCTTCACATTTGTTGGGTATTTGTGATCGACGAGAAACTGAGTGATTGCAAGGACAGAACAGGCAAAAGGTTCTGCAGGAGACTTCAAATCTGTACCTCTGAGAGGGGCAGAACTTGAGAGGTGATGTTAGCAGTGGTGTGGAGCCTCTTAAAGAATATTTACGCTGCTGAGCTTTGGCTCACAGCTCCCTTTGACTTTGTAAAGGACTTAGTTGCTCTGTATGTTGGAGATGTGTGTTAAAGATGAGGATTAATTCTTAACACTTAAGAGCAGCAATGAGCTGTGAGTAAGGTACTGTAGTCCAAAGGTCTTTGAGGTGCATTGGCTATAAATTTTCACAGGAATCGTAACGTCAGCCTTTTACTGTGGGGACAAGGGGAAGATCAAATGTTTCAGGTATTTGCTTTGGGATATTCTGAGTCAGAGAACCATGTGACCCGAGAAGGCTCGTTAGGGTAGGGCAGGCTTGCCACACAGAGTGACTGCATGCCAGCTGACTCTTTCTTCCTGGAGCAGAGAGGTCAGGGGAAATCCTGAGAAAAGGAAATGTCAGATCATGCTGTTGCCTTGGCATGTGAATTACTGATGCTTCTTCAGTGAAGGATAGGACTGGATTGGGTATAGAATCATAGAATACTTAGGGTTGGAAAGGACCTTAAGATCACCCAGTTCCAACCCCTCTGCTATGGGCAGGGACACCTTCTAGTAGGTGAGGTTCCTCAAAGCCCCGTCCAGCCCGGCCTTGAACACTGCCAGGGATGGGGCATCCACAGCTTTTCTGAGCAGCCTGTGCCAGTGTCTCACCAGCCTCCTGATGTCTAATCTGAATCTCCCCTCTCTCATTTTAAAGCCATTCCCGCTTGTCCTGTCACTACGTGCCTTTGTAAAAGTCCCTCTCCAGGTTTCTTTTTGGCCCCTTTAGTACTGGAAGGCTGCCCGAAGTTCTCCTTGGAGCCTTGTCTTCTCCAGGCTGAACAAGCCCAACTCTGTCAGCCTGTCTGCACAGGAGGAGTGCTCCAGCCCTCTGATCACCTTCATGGCCTCCTCTGGAGTCACTCAAGTGGGCCCATGTCCCTCTTGTGTTGGGGATCTGAACCAGCTCTGAACACAGCATTACAGGTGTAGTCTCACAAAATCAGAGCAGAGGGGCAGGATCACCTCCTTCGACCTGCTGGTCATGCTCCTTTTGATGCAGCCCAGGATACGGTTGGCTTTCTGGGCTGTGAGCGCACACTGGAGCCGGCTCATGGTGAGCTTCTCATCAACCAACAGCCCCAGGTGCTTCTCCGCTGGGCTGCTCTGAATCCATTTTCTGCCCAACCTGTAGCTGTGCCTGGGATTGCCCTGATCCAGGTGTAGGACCTTGCACTTGGCCGTGTTGAACTTCACCACCTCCCTAACTCATCTTGCTTTTCCCCATGCTATTGCCATAGAGGCATTTCAGTTGGGCCCGTGATGAAGCTGGCTTACTTACTGTCTGGAGTGATGGGTATTCCTTTGTACTGCTCTTCAGGTGCTCCTTTGCTGACCGGTGATCCCTCTCCAGGCTCTAGGCATATCCTATTGGCACCAGAATCAAACTGGTAGGAGTGGGATGAATTGAGATTCCCTTCCCCCAGCAACTTTAGTTTAAAGCCACTTCCAGCAGCCTGGTATGCCTGTGACTGAAGACACTCTTCCCTTTCTCCAAAGGTGGACCCCATCAGCCCCCAGTAGAGCATGTTTCTCAGAGTGAGTTCCATGGTCTAAGTAGCCAAACCCCTGGTTGTGGCACCAGTGACCATTTGTTGATTCCCCACATTGATACAGATGGCCCTGGACACATGCAGTGAGGATCCTGGGTTGGAAGGCAGCTAATTTCTTTCTTTGCACCAAAGCAGCCCTTCCTTCAGCACTGTGAGTGCTAGTCACAAAGCTTACTTGTTTGCAGTGGGGCCTTTCCCCCACATCTTGGTGGGCAACTCTTACTGCAAAATACAGTGGGGATTTGGTTGTATAGACCCTTTTCTCTTGGCTAGGAAAAGGCTATTAGGAGAAAGCATTTGGTGACTTCAGAAGTGGAAAGGGTTATGCAACAAGGGTTGAAGCTGGGTTTTGCAAATAGCTGGAAATGGGTGGGGGAAAATGGCTGCAACATCTGTCCAGAGAACCCTGGAAATGGTTCCAGTTTGTGTCCAGTCCTGTATGTAAAATGGTGGAAGAGAAAACTGCTGAAGCTTGATCCTGGAAACCTACATTGTTTGAGAGCTGCAAGATGGATGAAGCATTAGAAACAGGAAATGCTAGGCAAAAAAAAAGGTGAAAGCTCTTGTTTGTCAGTAGTTTTTATCACGTGTCAAGTAAGTAAATAAAAAGTAATAATAGTGAATATACTGTAGTAAGTAAACAAAAAACCCATTTTGAGAGGGCTTAATGTCAAGGTGAAAAATGCTATTTCAAAAGGTGATGTGGGGAAGACCACAGAGAGGTGGTCAACTTTTGTGGCTTGCAGCAGACTTCATTACAATTACTTGTGCCAGATTTTTGTTTGTTTTGTGGTTTGGTTTATCTTTTATCATTTCCAGTTTGGAGGGGAAATCATCCCTGAAGGAACCTGAGGAGTGTGGCTGAAGCCCTTCTGCAGGAGAACTTCAGTCTCCTGCAACAAGTCCCATAGCTGAAGGCAGTCTATTCAAGCTAGGCAGTGGTTTTAGGTGGGGCAAGTTACTTGTTCTCGTTTTAATCTATAGATGGGATGGTCCAGATGACATAACCACTAATATAGCAACAGCCTAATGGAATTCTCTCTGCTTGTTTCCATAGGATCTGTGACACTGTTTCTTATGTCAGGCTGTGCCTTTCTTAGTTGTTTGTTTGGCCAAGGATTGGAGTTTCTTGCTTGTACAAAAGCTACTTAATGTTACTGCAAGGTGGCCCTGATGAAATCTGTGTACTTTTCAAGCTGTTGTTCTTAGCTGGAATAATTCCTGCTTGTAAGATGTATGTTCTTATGTAATGGAAAGGTTTAGTTAAAATAAGACAAAGAAAATGTGAGTCTGGTTAATAAATACACAGCTTTTCTTACAGCTCTGCATTTAAAGAATGATGTATACTTCTCAGTTGAGGAATACAGAACATGTTCCAATTATTTTTTATTCAGTCACTTCCAACTTAAAAAGTTTTCAGCATATATCCTTTTAAGTTAACTAAAAATTACTGATCTAGAAATTTAAGGGCTTTTGCATGTATAATTACAAGGTAGATTCTTGCTATTAAGTGCAGGCTCAGTATGTTTACAGAATTCATGTCCTGCGTAAAGTGAAAAATGATCTGATGTTCAGTTTCTGATGATTTCTACTATAGTGACTGATCTCAAGAGGTTGAACTATTTATAAAACAGAAGCATTTTTAAATACATTTTTGTTTTCATGATTGAAGGAAGATGGGAGTTCTGAATATCCTTACTGCAGTAATCAGATACTCTGTGGTGATACTTGCTGCTTACGCTTTCATAAGAGTTAATGCGAGATTATTTGTTGTTGACATGGGACTTCAAAGTGTTGACACAGTTCTGCCTGGCTTTAAGCTTAAACATTTTCAAAACAGCCAAGTAATATCCTATAAATCATCTGCAGCTTTGGCTTTCATAGCTATTTAACCATTTCTTTCCACAGACATATTTGTGAATGACTGTGTGAACAACCTAGTGTTTTATTAACCTACGTAGAAAAATGGGTAGCTACAGTCTTACCAACAACTGTAACAGAAAACTTTACCCATATTACTTTCTCCACCATAAAGTTTCCAATTTATTTGTACATTATCAGGTATAAAAAAGGTTTATGTCTATAATGTCTGTGTGCTTGTTCTTTCTCTACATCTTTTGTTTTTTTTTTTAACAAAACAATCCCGGGGGGAAAAAAAAATAAAGAAAAAAGCGAGCCTTAGAACAGTTTCAGAACAAGTTGTTTGTCTGCACTGAAGCTGGTACAGTGCAGCACAGCTCCAGGCACGTTTCATGCTCAAGTGTTGGTGTGACTGAATTGGCATAGCTCTCAGCCAATTAAATATAAGTAAAACAGAATCTTAATCCTATATTGGAGTATCTTCAAGGTGGTGTACAACTTAGCCCTTAATCTTTAAAAGGTCAGATGCTGAGAGCAATCTAGTACCAGTATTTAATACATTCTAAGTAAGCTCCATCACATTAAACAGATACTGTTGTGTCTAGTTGGTTAAGTTTTTCTTCTCTTAATCCTACATTCAACATAGCTTACTCCAGTTCTGTAAAGGCTTGCTTAACTGAAGTTTCATTATGCTGAAACTGCGTTTACCTGTTCCTGTAGATCACTAACAGTAGTTAATGCCATCTGTTTTTTTTGCTCTGCTGACCTTGACATGGTAGCAGGGCAACAGCGGAGAGAGATGTGTGCTGTTACCATTCTGTGACCCTTGGAGTATAACAGGTAGTGTTCCTTTGTGAAACGCTAACAAAGAACAGTAACCTCATAATTATCTGCAATTATATTAAAGAAAGTGTGTTAAATCCTCACCGTATGTTGTGCTGTTATATAGAAACATCATTGCATGTTCAAAATCATATGGTACTTCCATCACCAACAGAAACTTCAGTCCAAGTATTTCTGAGTGTGCTAGGATTTTTTTTTCCTACTGAATCCTTATCTGGCTTCCACTTCTCTTTCCAAATAGTTAGGAACAGTTATATATACCAATGCTTATCTGTGCACGTTCATGTTATAGGCCAGTATTCAACTGCCAACCTTGGAGCAAACTGAGTTCAAGCAGGCTGACTTGGAACACCAGAAACCCAGTGAAGATGGAGCTAAAGCAGTACCTACGATAAAAAAGACAGACCTGCTGGAGGCTAAAGGTGAGACGGAAATCACAATCTGACAATCAGTTGTTTAAGAACATTTGTAATTTAATTGAACATTTAAAAAACATTTTTGTACACAAGATATAAAACCAACACCAGTAGACTGAACTTTAAGCAATTTTCCAGCTGTGGAGAGGTACAATATTTGTTCAAGCATTTTTATTACTAACATTTCTATGCTTCAGTTTTGTTTAATTGACAAGTTGCATGTAAAGGAAAATACAGATATTTACAACTCTGAAGTCATATTCATTTAATATGGAGAAATTGCTGTTGGAAGCAATGATTTTCAATCACATTTAAAAGACTTGCTTTATTAATACGTTTGACACATCTAGCCTGCTACTCCTCCCTATGGAATAGCTGAAAGTTAGGCTTTAAAAAAAACACACATCCATGCTTCCCCTGGGTTGTCAATGAGCAAAATGCAAGTAAGGAAAATGATACACAGGAAATCATGTTAGTTAACCTAATGTTGCTTGTGGTACTAAACTTGCAGAAACTTGAATTTGAATAGATGTATTCTCATGTGTCAGCCTCGCACAGTACTGTGTGTGATAAAAATTCAATTTCCTATTTAATTATTCTTATATGCTATCTTAAATTAACAGTCTGGGGAGCATGCAACTTCCACTTTAGAGACGAGCAACTGAAGACAACATCTATACATAGTTTCTTCAGGCAAGATTTTTTTTTTTTTACCTTGTTAAAAATACAGATACACAGGGAAAAAAAGTATGGTCATGTCTGCTAAAAGTAACAGCCCTCTGCACTTCCCCCTTTAAAAATTAGAGCAGCCTTGATTTATTTGCAAATCTGCCCATGTGACTGCTTTGTCTTAAGCTACTTTTGAACACCAGATCGGTTTTACTGTTGGTAAGTAAATGCGACAGGAACCTCACACTTACATAGCACACTGCAATTTTTATTTAAAGTGCTTGTTACACCTGCCCAATTTATTAACTGCACATATAAAAATTTTAAGTAGGTAGAAGTATGAAACTGTTGACAACAAACAATGGCTCATCCTTTACCCGGTGTGGTTGGAAGATATCTTTCAGAGGAAGAACAAGAATGGACTGAGAAAGATGAAGCAGTATTAAAGATTTTTAACTTGCGCCACCACTGAAAGGCATTAGATTTTTTAACTCAGAATCATTTTTATTGTTTACAGAAAGAATAAATGGCCTAGCTGACATCAGAAAACAGGAGCCTATGGTAGAAGAGGAGAAGCTCTCTAGTCAAGTGAAAGACCTGCAGGATCCACTCAAGGCTGCTGCTGGTCATGAAGAGATGCTGCCTCAAGATGTGTTACAGCTGGCTGCAGAGCAGGCTGCCAGTGAAGAAGCTGAGAGGGAGCAGCTCCTGAATTATGATGCTAAGCAGGACTCACCCCCCGTAAAGGCTGGTATGTAGCATGCCACACTGTTAAGCAGTAAAGACATGAAAGTGTGGAATAGGGCACGATTCTGCAACAGTGGTGGCAGCTGGCCAGACTTAGTATAAGGTTCCTTAAAGGTTAATATAAGATGTAAAAAGTTAGCCTCCAGCACTATTCTACAGTCTGTGTAAAGATGGAAGCTTGTTTGTAAAACATGGAGCTAACCAGGATGCGTTCTTCTGCATCACTATAGTAGCCTTCCTGTCTTCCTTGATTAGCTGTACAAGGCATTTGGGGAAATCAGTCCCAAAACTGGTATTGAGGCTTCCTAAGAATGATGCATTTGAGAAGGATGAGATATTGACCATCCAAAGCACTGATGGAGAAGAGAGACACTATGTAATAATGTTTTGCATATAGTCTTCTTATAGTGTTGTATAAATGCTAGCTGTCCCTATTTCAAAATAAGCTAGCATGCATACAACTCTACCTAAGGCTTCAGGTATCTACAGTTTATTGTTGTGAGTTTGCAAACTGGAGATCAAATATTGCAAAGGTGCCAGTTTCTGGCATCTGCCATATATGACCCTGAACCATGTGTCTCTATAGCAGAGTACTAATGTTGTTCCTAAAGCTGACCAGGATCTGGGCATCTCTCTGTCTTGAGGAACTTGGTCTCAGGTGGACCCAGTAGCCCAGAGTAATCAAGAGGAAGACTTAACGGCAGTCAGAGCAGGAACTGACGTCCACAAAAAATGCTGCTTGTGCTTTTCTAGTAAACGTACTCATAGAATCACGAGTAGTGATGTTAATGCTGTTGATAACTTGGCAGGGATAAATAACCTTATCTGCATTGTTAAAGCAGTATTTTTCCAACTGCTCTGAAAAGATGCTGCCCAGCGCAGGCTGTTCTGTCCCCAAAAGAGATGTGAATAGAAGTTATGTAAACTGCTTCCATTTTAACAGAAAAAGATACCAGAAAGATTAGGTTAAAAAAACCCCATCTGTTAATTGGTGCAAGAAAAAGCTCTGCCATGTAGCCTGTGAAATGTCAGCATGAGCTAGGAAGACTAGCAGGATGTTCTTCCGCCTTGATTATTAACAAAAATGACACAGTTTACTGCATAGTTTCCCTGTAGACAAAGGTATAAAAAGATTTCTGCTACATTCTCTGAACATCCTTTCTCTTCCAATAAAATCTTCTTTTAAAAGTTTGAGACCTTTAGGTCTGTAACTGTAAACATCTATTTGATATGGTTGTCTGAACATGGACAACTTAAGGCTAAAATTTTTTGAAGCCTGTTTCTAAGCCAGTTACTAATTAGAAGGCTTGGCTTAAGAACATTTAGAACCAGACTCCTGTCTCTCTTTCTAGGGTATGGTTTTTTTTCTGTCTGGTTAACTGAAAAATAAGGGTAGTAGTTTGGCAATCAGAAATAATGTTTCCATCTACTTCTGAGTTCTTTATATAAATAATTCTTAAGATAGTGATTAAAAGTTACTTGAGATGAATTAAAGACAGACGGAAGAAAATCTTCACTGTAAAAGCACTCTGACTCAAGTTAGCACATCATTACTCTTTTTTTTTATGCCATAATCCCATCTTTCTGCTTGGTAGACAAACTAAAGGAAGGCAGAAAACTGAGACAAGTTTTAGCGGTGGTGGCAATACATTTCAAAGCAACACCACAGTCAAGTTCTCAGCATTGGCTTCAGGTTTTACTTTTACTTAGGCTGTCCCTTAATATATTCTGAAGTTGTTTAATGCTTTTGCTTTCTGTCTACCTGAGTGCCATCTGAGTCTTATTACACTTCCTAAATCCCAAAACATTCTTTTTCCCTAGTTCTTTAGACAAGGTTTACAGGAAAAGCTGCTCTGAAATTTAACAGTTTAAAAGGAAAAATAATATAAAAACTTATTGTAAACAGCCATTCAGTCAGCAGCAAAGCAAATTCTCTGGAAGTTTATTACAGTAACTGTCTCTTGTGCAGATAACTCCATGGTATAGCATAAACCTAATTAATTTTAATATTTTTCCAGACAAACAGGAACATGAAGCACTGAAACAAGATAGGGAAGTTGATTACAACTTACATGAGAATGAAGCTGAATCAGAAATGGACAAGCAAGCAGCACTTGCAGGGATTGAAAATGGTAAAAAAGAAACGAAGTTTTAACCCAAGTACTACATGCTGAAAAGTTTGAGACAATATTTTGAACATTATATCCTGTAGCAGATATAAGTAACTATTTTCTGTTTCTTTTTGAACTCTCCCTCATGTGGACAGTGTGACCTACTTTCTGTCTAGCATCACGAAGTTACTGTTTAACATGCACTGGGGAGGGACTGTATCTGCACCTTTATTGTATGGTACTTAACAGTCCATTCAGAATTTCTTCTGCTGTGTTCTAGATTATTTTCCACATGAAGAACTATCACTTCTACCTCTCAAAGAGATTTATATACCTTTTTTTTTTTTCCTAATTAGTTCAAAACCAAGATACGAGGAACCACTTAGCATAGTGAAGAACGACAGAGGTTGTGAACACAGGAAGTTTGTGATGCAGCTTAAGTCACTTCTTCATATAAATGCAGCAAGGATGAGAGCAAAGTGATCTGAGAATCTTTTGATTATGTTCTCAAGGCTTCAGTAAGAGCCTAAATGAAGTAGTATTTTCTTGTGAAGTTTTAGTACTGTTTCAGGGGTAAAAAAAAAAATCTTAAATCTCTGGAGGCTTGTTTAATAAAAGCAGCCTGACCTCTGCATAACTTCTTCCTACTGATTACAGATTTGAAACCAGCTAGCAGTAAGCGTAGTAACTTTGAAGTCGGCTAACTTGTACAGTCATACTATAGAAACAGTATCTGTGCATTGGTGGTAGATGAGAGTCCTCTGCCAAGGACAGATCTTTCCCCTGAGCAGTGCAGTAGAGAAATTCCAGCCTAGTTTTCAAAGGAGGTTAAGAGCAGATAACTTGACATAAAATGGGAAGGATGAAAAATGAACCATGCTGCTGTTTACCACTGTTTGCCTGTTCTGGCGCATTTTATTGAAATGTGGGAAGACTTCAAAAGCATGATCGTAATCCTTGGATACCTTCCAGTATGATATATTTTCCTGGGCCTCTTAAGAGAAATTACTGGTTTACACTGTAACCAGCTGAAGCACCTACAAGAATCTGGTTGTGTTCTCAGCTTTTGGGTTAAGGAAAGAAAGACTTGGACAATAGTGTCCTCGCATTAAGAGAGAAGCCAGAAAGCTGGTTTAGACCTCTGTTCACAAGATGTGTGCCACAGTATGGTTCAGTTACCGCTAACTTGCACAAGTTTATAGAGAGTAAAAATTCCATCTCCTGAACTTTTCATGACAGAAGCTATCTGAAATGGTATGCTACAACTACCCTTTACTCCAACCAGCTACTATCCTCTGCTAAAAAGCAAAAAGGCAAATGCTTGCTGTGTAGAACAGCAATCATCTCAGCTGTTCAGTGACTAATACTCTCTGCTGGACTTCTGACGAAGGTAAACGAGACTGTGCATTTACGAGACACCTCTATGTTTTTCACAGGTGGAGCTGCAGTTCTGTGAACTCCTATGTTATGTAATAGTGTGTCTTATTGCTAATATTCTGTAGCCTTTGTCATTTCTGTAACTCGTTGAATGTAAACTGGAAACTAGTTTATTTGTGATAACCTAGAAATACCTTCTGCTACCTGCAGTGTATAGCCAGCTCTTTGGAAGTTCTCAAGCCTGACACCTGTGTTCAGAGCAATCTTTATGAATATGAACCAACCGCTGTCAAGGCAGCATGGCAGCTTCCTAACCAGGAATTCAAAAATACAATAAAACCCCACAACTGGCTCTTGGCTTTCTCTCAATGAACTTCATTGTGTAACTGTTTCTGTGGGGTGTCATTCCTTAGTGTATTAGTTTACAACACCTGTACCTTACTTCAGCTGCCTAAATATGCACATGGAAGGTTGGTTCATTTGTATACAAAGAATATGAGTTGTCACAGATGAAATGCAGAGCTCAAGTCAAATGGTGCCTAGTAAGCCTAAATATGTAAACAGTTCACTGATAGTCTTGCTACATGTAACTTGAATTTTTGTAAGAAAAGGACTAACTGCCATTACCAAATTATTTGTTGCTCTTGTTTTTTCCACTGTTTAAGTCAGACACCATGGTTCTGGGCTACTACTGCCAGTGCTGCAGGGAAAACAAATCCTTGTAATCTGGAGAGAAAAGGAGGTATGTCTGATACCTGCAATTTTAAATTAAAGGAGTTTTAGCTGAACAAAACAATAGATTCACTGGAACTGTGATTTACATAATGTTTCCTATCACTGAAGATTTTAGTTGCCTAAGGCAGGGAAAGATCTTTGCTGTAATCATCTTGGGGTTAAGTAACACTAGTCTTCGCTGTTTCTCAAAAAGTTTCATTTTAGATAAGAATTTTAAAATAAAAATAGTCTTTGTTGCTGTGTGAACACCTTATTCTGTACAGTTTATATACTTTTAATGTTCATGAAAATTAGAAAGGTGTAATTTTTTCCTTAGTTTTGTAAATTATGTGGAACTTGGTTTCTCTTCTACTTTCTGCTTCCTTCCTTCCTTTGGAGAAATACTAAAAGCTACCCCTGAACTGCTGTCATGTAGGTCAAGATTTTTAAGACAGTTAAGACTGGTGATGGTTCACTGAAAGGCAGTAAAAGCCAGATGAATTCTCAATGCCTGCACTACAGCCAGTTTGCCAACTTTACAGCCACATTTTCCATGATTTTGATTACTTTCACAGCAATACAGAAGTACATTAATCATAAGCAAACATCTAAAATGGTATACAACCTCAGAGAAACCAGGAAAAATATGTTCAGGGCAGTACTCCTGCTTATTTCAATTTCAAGATGCCAGTTGCTGGCAGGCAAGCAGGTGTTCCACTTCTGAGTATCTTCACTGCTTTCCAGCTCTAGCTCAGCAGTGCTGCTGCCCAGATGATGGAGCTGAAATGGTATCACTCCACAGTACAATTGTATGCTAGGAAAGAAGAGCAAATGTCTTGCATTTTCAAGGAGGAATTAAAGCCCATCACTATGGAAGGAGTAATTTTGGAGCAAAATGAAGAACTGCCCTGTCCAAAACAGCGAGACCAGGACGATTTCCTTGTATGGCCCAGATAAGACTGGGTAGTACGGTTTATCAAAGAGCAAGTCAGCTTTTTAAAGTTTTTATTTTTTTCCTCTTGTAGCAGAAGGTTGCTCAGCACAAAACCTTGCCTTCATTATTTCACACAGGAGAATGACCTGTTCCAGGAAGAAAAGGGTAGGTTTGGGGCTCTTCTTGTTTGGGATTTCTACCTATACCAACCATTACAGAAGGCAGTAGGATCCAGCAGCAGCATTGCAGTCAGAGCAAGAAAATGAAGGTCATGCAAGACCTGACTGAGCAATGGAACAAATCAGCAGTTCCTCTTTCGCAATGACAAAGTAACAGAAGGATTACAAAAAACAAAATAATCACAGAGTAGTAAAAATACGGTCCTCATGTCTTGTGTTCCTATGTTGCTAGTGACTATCACAGTGTTCAGCTATGCAGATTCATCAGTACCATTACAATTAAAGTCAAAGGAACAAACTGCAACTAGGAGTGACTTACTCCATTTCTCACTGTCTTCAAGTACAACTTCTACATTTGAGACAATATACCTCCTACACAGTTTACTCCAGTAAAACAAAAATTACTGAATTCAGCACAGTACAAGCTAAATTATTAGGTTTTGTCTGCTCTTAATTTCTATAGTTTGTTTTAGCTTAAAGGACTTTGCAAGAAAAGAACCCAGTCTTCCTACTTGCAAAGTGAGACAATTTGATGCAATTTAGCAAAAATAATGGAACCTCACAATCTCTCCAAGTGGTTTGGTTCAAAGCAGAATTTCAGTAACTCTGCTGTTCCTATTAGACATGAGGCTCTACTGCATTATTTTTACTCTGTCCCAAATGTTACTAAATTCCTAAACAACCACTTTGTCAGTGCTCAAAAAATGAAAAAGAATAAATCTGTAATCAATATAACATTCTTCAACAATGCATTTGATTAAAATCAGCTTCACCTATAAAACTTCATACAAACCACTTTAAACAGCAGTTGTAATTCCGATAGATAACACATAACAGATGAGTATAGATATTCCATGTAAAAGTACTTCTATCCTGGAGATCCCCCTCAGTCTGGGTACGGTACTAGATAATTTCATCTTGCAGATGTTAACTGATACATAGATTATGCTCAGATGTCCTACTCTCTGTAGTAGGTATCCTACTCCCTTGTCTTTCAAACAAGCTTCACAACAGGAAAATATTTATGAGGGGAGAAGTCAAATTCGGGAGGAACCTAGAAATAAGATATTTAAAAACATCACACAGCAGTACTACTGAATGTAATGCTCTAAATAAGGGATACCCTGCATCTAGAAGGAAAAAAAAAGTAAAAACACAAAAAAAATGGGAAAAAAATAATCCTAGCTCTTTAATGCCTGGAAAATATTCCAGCCCAGCTCTGGGTATGCCAGTCAGTCTCCAGTAGTGTGCCTCTGGGCACACAGCTGTAGATTGCTGGTGTGCCTCTTCAGTCTGCTCCTTCATTCTTCTATGCTTAGCCTTCTGCAGGAAGTCTGAAGGCCCTCTCTTCCCTCTGACCCACATGGCACCTGCTAATCCTGATAACCAGCACTCTCCCCACTGTGTTCTTCCCGCTCTTGAAGAATGCCCATATTCGCACGTCCTCTCACACGCACTTCCCAATTTTTTTTCCCAAACGTTTAGAAATGAGAGTATTCCATATTTAAATAACTGCAACAAACTATTTCCAAGGGAAAAAAGGATTTTTACTTTCCCAACTCTTTTAAGAGTTAGAGTAACTGTGACCTGAATCTGCTCATTCAGCTGTAAGAGACCTGTCGTAGCACCGTGTGTAATACATTTCACATTCAACTCAACTGGCATTTTCTCACCTTGGAGTCCTTTTTGTGGCCTCCTGCCAGCAGCTTCATGACCACAATATTGGGTTTAGCAACTTTCAGGATTCTATTGACCTAAACGCAAGACAGCAATAAGTTTTCAAGTGAAAGATGTGACTTCAGAAGTATTTCAGAGATAATACTCAAAATGTTTACATACTTTACAACAGTCCTCTTACAGAATGAGTTTAACAGAGATCAGAGGTGTTTTGGATTTGCTTTTAAGTATAAAAGCTGGATTAATGAAATTTAATAAAGGGAATGCTTATTTTAATACTCACTTTTTTAATTCAACAGACCATAGAAACCAGTGCTCTCCATGCTATGGCAAGTTCCAAGGCACTCATCCAAATAAAGGTTTAGACAGCCTTTAGGCAGCTACTCCCAACTATGACACAGTGAGAAGGGGAAACTCAAGTATCAGACTGGTGGCTTTTTGCCTGGAAGTGCTCTGGGCACACTCGAACTTATTCTAACTACCCTGGTTAGCCTCAATCAGATGACCTGTGTGTGAATGCAACTAGGATCCAGGGAACAGGCAGGGATTCCTACATTCTCAGGAGAGCATAATCCCATAACTGTTTTTAACCCTCTGAGATGCAACATACTCTTTATTCCAAAACACAGTCACAGACACTTAGTTTTTAAGTGATGGACAAAGAGGGAGAAATTCCTACCTATGTTCACAGCCCAGTGCTGAGAAAACTGCTCCAGGAAACAAGTGCCAGACAAAATCTTCTTTCCAGCCTGATGACATTTAAACCTGTTTTTCCCACCTCTCAGGAATACATCTGAATTACCAGATTCCAAGTAAGTGAGGGAGGCATGTGTCACCTTCCTGATAAAACTGATACACTTTTACAACAGGACCAGAAGAAAACATGCAAGATGGAGCTAAGCTGCTATCTACTATTTAAGATACTAGCAGGGAGAGATTTTGGAACAGTAAGCACAACCTTGATTATGTCATCTAATGTACCTGAAACAGACCATTGCATAAGACACCATCACTATCCTCTCTCCATTGCTTTATCGAAGCACCCAGCTTTGCTCAGCATTTTGACGAAGTAGATTTTGGATCCCAAGCAGATCCAGCTGAAAACAAATATTTATTCTACTATGAACATAAATTGCAGTATTTCAGTCTTACCTCATAGTCTGGATTAGGAATATTCTCAAGAATCATTTTAGCTTGCTGGAAGTGTTTGCTAGCTGCCATGTAGAGATCCGATGACTGAGGAGGTGGGCTGTACTTATTTAAATCAGACATTTCCTAGCATGTTGCAGAAATATATATCCATGCATTAAAATCAGTTGCCAACAAATTTCTTTTAACATATATACTGAAGGATATTGAAGAAAAGAGTTCAGTTAACTAAATAATATTTTAAGAATACTTCAGCTGAATACATTTAAAATAGCAAAAACCAAGTAGCAATACGGTGCTTAATTATAGTACCACAAAATACAATAAACTTCCCATATTCTTTGTAAAACAATCTATCTCCTGAAGAACTTGTTAATTTGCTTTAATAGTGCCATGCATCAGGGTATGAAATTACAGGAAAAAAAACAGGAGAAATAAAAAGTATACAGTATTATTTACTCAAATCAAGTTTATAGCAAGTAAGATAACTGTTCAAATGAATGAACAGTTAATTTTATACAATTTTGATACTTCCAACTTTTTTTTTCTTTAGGGATAAAAACCCCCTCAATGACAACGAGGAAGTCACCATTGTCTTAATTTCCCCTACAAATGTTTGTAGCATTAAACTAGGGAAAGTGACTGGCATTATAAAATAGCACCATTTAAGTTCAGACAGACCTGTAAAAACAAAAGTCTGGCCACCAGAAATCTAAGTTCAACAAGAAACACTCAAATTTCTGCACCTGAGGCAGAATAACCCCACAGATCAGTAGAGGCTAATAACCAGCTGGATGAGTAGCAGGGTTACTGTGAACACCAAACTGTGTTAGAGAGCACAAGGTGCTCTACCTACAAGTCTCATATAGGACTATGAAGGAGGAGTACAACCATCAGTTCAAGGAAGGTTATCATTCTATACTCCATATTTGTGCTGTAACATCCAAAATACTGCATCCAATGTTGGATCTGCTGAAGTCAAGAAAGATGCTAAGATGCAGAGATGGCTGGGAGTCTAGAGCACATGACCCACAAGGAGAAGTCAATGGCCCAGAATGCTGATGGGTAATCTTAATAGCAGACGACTACTTGAAAGATAGTTACAGAGCTGTCAGAAGACAAATGCTTCTTGTTAACAGCAGACAACAGAACATGGGGGGACAGGCCATAAACTGCAACTTCGGTAATTCAGACTGGATATTTGGGTAGAAAAAGACACAGCTGATGTGACCTATAATGCTGCTTCAAGGACAAGAGTGGACAAGACAAGCCTCTAACAGTCCTTTTCAACCAACACTTATGTTACTTAATACTCAAAATTACTTTAGTTTCCTTTTCCTGTTTGCTTGCTGTAGTAATAGAAACATGCTGCTATATGAACTGCAGCTAAAAAGTCTGACAACAGACTTCCAAGAGATATTTTCATGCAAACCAACACAAGCATCTCAAACCACCAGACAAATTTTTAAATATCTGAAAGTCTAATTTTCGTAAGGATTTAAAGCAGTGAGTTTTTCTTGCATACAACTAAAGCTAGAACTTCTTGTCATTTTAACTTACGCTTCAATACGAACTTTGAGATATTAAAGGTTCTTTTTACACTGACAACAATGTCCAAAGCAGGTGAGTAAATGACTTACTTAATTAAAGTGTGAGTGGCACCACATTTTAAGAGTACTCACTTTGAACTGCAAGTAGTGGACCGGTGGCGGTGTTATAACACTGTTGAATGGAGCAAACCTGTGTTCATATCGAACTTGTTCACTATCTAGTTCAAACTTAGGTTTCCTTACTTTGCCATCCATGTCAAATGCAATCATTGTCTAAAAAGGAAAGGATAAATATAAAGGAGTGTTAGCTTTATATTGTATTTTTCTGTGAACAAAATGAAAGTTGATTTAGCTGTAACTGGTAAGATAGAAAAATAGTAGAAAATTTACCATATCACACTGTAAAACTGAACTTAATTTCCCTTCCCAGTAAAACCAAAAAAGGCATACAGCATCTGCTTGATACTTATTACAGAGAAAAAAAAACTGAAGCCAGTGTTTGGCAAGCACATATTACCTTGTACATCCCGGCACACATATTTTGGTATGCTTGACTCATGGTGATCTCTCTGCTGAGAGGGCGAACTGAAAATTTCATACAAAAATTCTGTTTTTAATTCAATATAAGTACATACACTAATTTCAGATGGAAATAATTCTTTAAAATTTTCTGAAAATTATAAAGTTCTCAATTAGATTTCAAAATAAAGAAAACTGAAGCATAAAATCCATGGATGTGCATTTCTGCTCACCTGGCTCCTGATTACACTGAATCTTAAGACATACTTAGCAGTCACATTAACACAACACTGCCATCCATGAAATAAACCAGCTGAGACAGCTAAAGAGTAATCTAGAATTTAAAGATTGTAGTTGAGAGGCGTTTTTCCTTAGTTCATGGGTTGTTTTTTAGACTTTGATGACTAAAAGGTTAAAGCATTTTTACCCTAATAAGAAAGGATTTTTATCCTGATAATAAACTGTTCTTTACCTTCCAGCATTTAACTAGTGCCAAACTGCCCCACACTTGGCACCTTTTTAAGACCTATAAAATACAGTAGTAACTTTTAAATTTTGAGATACAAGGGAATTTAGTTGACATGATCTTGAGGTATTCACATCTGTTTGTTCCCCTTGAAAAGGGGACAAGGATAAACATACAAGAAGGAAGAGCAAAGAACAGAAGCAAGCTTCTGCATGGTGTTTATCTGCAATATTAATGCTAACTCCAACATACTACAATCTTAGTAGCCACTTAGGCATGGCAAATCTGTATTAAATCTGTATCAAAAAGGTTTGCGTGCACTTTTTAGGTAGCAGGCTTACATTTCCGATCGCAGAGAATGCTATGGCATAGGAAGGGAAATTCCCATCTCCTCTTACGCATGTACACCAGAGAAAGTGTGCATTTCTAAAGGAGCTTTGCAAATCAGTACTACCACTGAATTAAAACATGGCAACTCACCGTTGTAAAATACCATTTAAACCAGTGACAACCATTTATTAAAGCTGGTGATACCAGCTTTAATACCTTCTGAAACAAGAGAAATTACAGAAAGACACAGAAAGTTTAGTCTTTGAATCTAGCTACAGTCACAGAAAAAAACCAGAACAACTCTACAGGAATTACAGACCAGCGAAAGGTAGAGGTAATTGCACTGAACTTGTTAATTACATCTCACAGGATCAAACATACAACACAACTCGTGAAGCTGTGACTACAAGCCTGGGTTTTTCTGAAAGACATATTTAAAAGTAAGTAAATACATAAACAGGAAACTCTTACGCAGCCACTGCCTTTTTAACTAAAAAAGTTTTACATACAGCCTTCATAAACTTCATGACATTTTTCCTAACCACATCAGTGTTGACTCTAAATTATGAATTTTAATTCTACATGACTGCATAAAGGCAGAGGAAAAATGAGTCTAGAGTTACACTCTACGTACGGATACCTTTTTTCTTCTTCTTTGTTTTCTTACTACTACGGCCTTTCTGTTGTTCCTCCATTATTCTCTCCTCTGCCATTTGAGAGCTATCAGCGCGGCTCAGTGTTGACATCAACCATGCATAGAGGAACTCTGATAGATACCTACAGTAAAAACAGTACGTAGTGTTACATACTACAGTGAAAAACATATTCATAATGCACACATGCTCACTGAATGCCACATCATGTACTCAAAGAAATAATAGTGAAGGACACCTTTTAGGGCACTTACAACTCCGTTTTGCCTGTTTGAAACCAACAGATTAGTCTGTGATCTGTTGTTTGCTTTTCAAATAAGACATTACACAGATTCAAAGACACAGCTCAAGGTGGGCGAGTTTCTTACACATTTACTAAGTAAAATCTAAGCTTTTTATTATTTCCAAACCTGTATAAGATCAGATTTTTTCTAGAATTCTTCCTTCTGCTAGCAAATTAAGCATTTTTTAAAAAGGTACTATGTTCATACCTTTTCTAATTTTGTTAGGAACTACTTTTTTGAGGAATCCATGCAATTCCTTAAGATTTAAAATAAATCTTTAAGAGCAATTTCTTAGTGAGCAGAAGAGGGTCCAATCTCTTGACTGACTTCAAACCAAAAGGAATAGGAAAAGAAAAAGATAAAAAATTGGAAATTACAGATCTGGAGCACATGAAGACATAATACTTAATAAGAAGTCATAATTCAGAATGAAAATTACTGAGTAATAATAGTGAATCTCATTTGCACATTCCCTGTCAGAAATTTCCTCCTTTGTCCTTCTTCTATTCTCTCTGAGTAAGGAGATAAAGCAGTTGATGTGATTGCTCCCGTTAACAGTGCTTTTATTAAAAAGGTGGGGGGAAATACAGGTAAAAAATACTGTCTTACAGAGAACTTGCTATTACTTAACTGAGGTATACCTAAAAAATATTGCCATCATCTGGAGTACTCATTTTCTCACTTAATAGTAAACCCACTAATGAAACAGCATAGAAACATAATGAAATGCACTGAAGTTCAAGTCATTTGAACCAGTCTGATCTCTCAGAGAGAACACTTACAGCTTATATAGTAAGAGCTTACTGGTAGGTTTACAGAAAAAAACACATCCAAAACCAGCAAAGTACAGAACCCTTAACATAGGAAAGTTCAACCTGAAATTTTTAATGCTGAATCAGACATGAACCACCATTTATCTTTTGGATCAAGTCATCAACTACAAAGTAATGTGAATGGAAGTGGAAAAATAAAGAGAATTTTGAATCCACATAGTGCAGTCATTTTCACTACAGGCAGACATCTCCTCAAATCTGCTCACAGGATAAAAATGTTTTTATGTAATCAACCTTCAGATTAAAGTCACAACTCAGAAGATCTTTTTCAAAATACTAGAGAGCAACAAGACTTGATCTTTGTACTGCAAAACCAGAAAAGAATAAAGGGAATTGCTTTCATCCTGCATTTTCTTGTCTGAGAAAAATCGCCGTGTTTTTCATTCACTGTCATCAGAAGACAATTTTTAAAAGCTATGTGACAGCAAGTTACTCTTTCAGGGAAGAAAACAGGTACACTACTTAGTAAGTCTAGAAAAGAGACCAACAGATTTTTTTTCCTCCACTTGTAATTTTATGAATAAGTAAACTAAATACAGTGTAGAGCAATATTAAACGAAATCACAGTTGAAGTCTCTCCTTTCAATATCTGCAGCTCTGTGGGAATATCTCTCTTCCAACAGCTGCCAAATAAAGCATCCTCTTACCAATATATGTAGTAATATTCATGCATACTGTAAAGTTCCAATTCAAAGCCACTCAGAAGATACTGTATCATAATACGAAGGTTATGATATAGGACCCAGGTGCCCAAGCAAGCCAAATGCTGCCTTTGTGGTTCCTGCTTCAATAGCATACTATGAAGTGCTGCATCTACTTTCTCTGCCTGTTGAAAAAGAGAGCAAAGAGACAGAGGAGGAAGTGCATTTAACAGAAACAGCATCCAAGTTGTGCCAGAAATAAAAAACTGAATACAAATTGGGTCAGTGAAGCCACACTCCCTATTATGAGATAGAAATATGTTTTTACAGATATTGCCACTTCCGTAGTCTAGAGCTGTCACAAAACAGGAAAGCTATTCACATAAGTAAATTCTGCTGCACAAAGATATAAAAAGGCCACTCTGTATAATAATATGACAGTAATAACAGTTTTTTTTAATTTCATTTTTAAAAAAGTATTTACATATAAATTGTTAGCAGTCACATTAACAGTGAAACTCAAGAATCTACTTCAAGCTTTTATTCATTTTACTATACTGGCAATAATTACCTGAAGAAAAAACAACAACAAAAACCAAACCCAAAACCAAATCAAAACTCCCTGCATTGAAAAAAATGAATTTATAAGCTTAACATGTAAGACACACAGTGGCCCACCATTCCTAAGACCAATTCAGCCTTCAAAAGTAGTTTTATGGAAGACATTAAGTCCCCCAGTTGAAAGGTTATCAGTAGTCCTGAACAAATCAATCAATATAACCTGCTACAAAGCGAAAAAGCAGTGTGTCTCAGCTGCAGGTCTGCAACAAACTCTCAACAAAATCACCTTGAGAGAAGCTGAAGTACAAAATACCTCATGCCCCACCCCACCACCCTCCAAGTTCCTTCACTTTTCTCGTTAGCACACACATCTTGGAAAATATTTATTTAATGCCTCTCACTGCTGAAGAAATACATTTCCAGGAAGTGAAAATATACTTTTCCCTAGAATCTTTCACTCCCCATTCTTGCAAAATGTTCAGAATCAGAGCACATTTTTGAATTATTATTTTATACATATATTTTGAAACGTTACAAAATTTTTCAGTTTACATCTTACATAGCTGCAAGACTGAATTTTCAAAGGTAAATAAAAGATAAACAGAGCTTATCCATCTCACCCTGGTTACATCTTGCAGACTGCCAGTTACGAACAGGATAGAGACTACAAGCAGTGGAATTACATGAAATTAATCTTAAAAATGTAATTCATTTGTCCAAGAGACCTAAAAAGTCTTTGGATGCAACTTACAGACTTCCTGGGCTGCAATTTAGGAAACCTTGTCCTAAAGGTTTTAGGACCAAGGAGTTGCTTCATTCACCTAGAATCTACTACCACATACTCCACTGGTTGGGATATACCTGAAAAGAAAACTTTGCTGGCCTGCTGCCTGGACATTACCTCATCCTGAAGGGTAGCAAATTCCTCAAGAATGTGACCTAGTTTATCTCTCTGACGAGCTCTATTGTGTCCATGGATTTGAATCAGACTACAGAATGGCTGAAAGAAAAAAAGGATAGTTTTAAATTTTCAATACGACTTTGAAGCTGCAGGAGGAGTATCTATGACGTCTATTTCGACATCTGTTTTATACATCCATATAAGGAGGTAGGTTCCTTAAGGCTCCCTATGGAGTGCAAGCTAGCAGGCAAGCAAGATCTCTGGAGTGATGTAAGAAGTATCCATTTCCCTGTACATAAGTAAACAAGATTGAAAGAGCATCCTTTAGTAATCTAATTCAGAAGAGAATGGCTGCGGTGAGGGAGAGATTTCTTATGCCTAAGTCCATGTGCCCAAGTGGCCTGTATCAGCCAGCAGGACTACTCCACATTGGTGAGGTTGTACCTCAAATCCTGTATTCAGTTCTGGGCCCCTCACTACAAGAAAGACATTGAGGTGCTGGAGTAGGTCCAGAGAAGGGCAATGAAACTGGTAAAGGGTCTGGAGCACAAGATCTGTGAGGAACGGCTGAGGGAACTGGGTTTTTTTTTAGTCTGGACAAGAGAAGGCTCAGAGGGACACCTTATCACTCCCTACAACTACCTGAAAGGAGGATGGAGCCAGGAGGTTTCTGGTCTTTTTTCCAAAGTTACAAGTGATAGGACAAGAGGTAATGGCCTCAGGCTGTGCCAGTGGAGATTTAGACTGGTAATTAGGAAATATTTCTTCACTGAAAGGGTTTTCAATCATTGGAATAGGCTGCCCAGGGAAGTGGTTGAGTCACCAACCCTGATAGTATTCAGAAGACTGTAGATGTGGTGCTTAGAGGTATGGTTTAGAGGCGAGCTTGGCAGTGCCACGTTAATGGCTGGACTTGATGAAGGGTCTCTTGAACCTAAATAGTTCTATGTTCTCTTACATTTTCACTGTCATTTAATAACTGAATCTTCTAAACCATTTTTAAAATTTCTTAAACTGGAGAGTGTAAAAATAATTTTGTTTTTACCGGTGCTAATGCATTTGTTCTGTGACATGAGACTACCCTGTAGAGAGGTAGTAGGTGCAGATTTTTAATAAAGCAGATTTCTAGTGTTAGTGAAGAGTCTGGAAGCATAGTACAGGAAAGAAACAACAAAAATTACACTGACTTATAAAAAGCAATACCATTCTAAGATAGCCAATTTCTATAATTTTGCCTTCATTTCAGGTGTCTAAAGAAATTAGTCTCATTTTCAAACACAAACAAACCTCTGAAGTTCTCATATATGCATAAACATGCTGCAATTGGAATGAATGCTTACCCGAACGCAATGTGCCACAAAGGAATCAATGTAGTCCTTCGCCTGGTGATTATTATAAAGACAACACCTAAAAGGAAAACATCCACATACAGAGATATGTTCACAAATGTCACCAGTCTACATAGCATGAAATTAAAAAAGAAACATGAGTGCAGCAACAGCAAATTGCAAGAACTAATACATACATACACAAGAAGTACAAAACATATATGCTTTTTGTATGTCTGTCCTTGATTTTGTCAGAAGAAATACTTTTTCAGACATGTAAACACATGCAACTAAACTCAAGATCCACTTACTTTGGAGAAAGTACTGGAGGACTGACAAAAGATCTTAAAGCATCTTTTACCATGTCTTGCATGAGATGTGTGCCAAACACCTTCTTGTTATCCACCAGAAAAGTTGTCTGAAAAATAGAAATGTGTTTTTAGAAACATGCTTAAAGTTAAAAGTAATGCTTTAGGAATTACACATAGGAAGCTCTTATGGCACCTGTATTCTATCAGAAACCTGTAACATTGCTTTAAGAATTAAAATGGCTCACGTAGGTACAAAGCTACAGACAGAAAGAGAGGCATATTAAGATCTGCCACTTCTGTGGTGTTCCCATAACAAAATACAGCTCTATTATTTGCATAAGACAGTGCAGGCGAAAAGATTTTATTTTTTGGACTTTAAAGATGATTTATCGGACAGATGTTTCTGAAGATTAACAAAATAAGTTACGTGGTTTCCCTGGAGGCAGATAAATGTAGATCTTCAGACTAATGTAGACTTTTTCCTGCCCCTGTATATACTACTACTTTCATTGGTTATATGTGATGCTCATTCCACTTTTCTCCATAAGTGCCATGTCCCTTTGTTACATGGTTTTTCAGCAGCTGGAAAAGAAGCTCTGCTGCCATGCACCCGAAAGGGATTGCACAAACACATGCAGTGGAAAGCCAGACCACACACAAGAGTGAAAATATTTTACTTGCCAATAGTTACATTTAATTGGCTTCATATGTGGTTTAATTGGGATAAAATGTAAAGAAGTTCTGACATCCTGGGACACCCTAGTCAAATAAAAATCTCCTACAGGGAGGTATTTATTCTGAGTTCAGAAATATACAATATGCTTTCAAAGTTAAGCAAAGCACTGAGAAGTAATAGCTTGTTCTGCTCTAGCCATCAGTTTTACTATTACAGGAATAGAAGTAGTCTATACATGAAATTCAGTTGAAACAGGGAAGATACCCAGCCCCAAACTGAGACAGCATATGGAGAACAGCATAAAAATGCCCGTACAAGCCCAGCCTTATGGCAGAGAAAAACTTTTAACACCTTTTGATTTAATTAGCATGTATTAACATTATCTAAACAACAGTATTTAAAAGTGCTTAAAAAAATTACTTCGGAACATAAGTCTCCATATACCTAATATTTCCATATAGAAAATAATTTTCTGGAGATATATTACTGATATGCAGATAATATTTGAAAAAATAAGATGAATCCATATTTGTGACAAATGTAGAAGTATTTTACTCAAAGACAATATATTAACACTTGCCTGTAACAAGGATCTTGAAAGAACACATGGTGATTGCTCACTGAACTCACAGAAAAAGTCCTAATTTACATTTAGAGAGAAAAAAAAAAACTGTTCGTGTTAATATGCCAAATTTTTTATATATACACACGTATTTCTGTTATTATACACATAATAATGGACAGACTGAAAATGCAAATGCATATATCAAATTATGTAAATACACCTGTATTTTGTGTATACAAACATATATACATACAGATAACATAGCTTATACAACTTGTGAGAAAAAAAGCATGAATAATTTGAACAAATAAGAACATGCTATGAAGCTAAATCTGTTTTTTCTTAAACTACTCGTTATTTAACAGCACAAAAAGCTTCTGAACTTTCTTCAGATGCAACATTTAGAAGGATAATAATATAGAAAAAAAGATACTGTTAATATCATGGTGTAACTGAAACAGGTATGTAACAGAACTTCTATATTTATCTGGTACCAGAAGCTTCAAGCTAACACTACTTAATTAATTTAACAGGAAATAGGAAAGCAAAATATTTTAGTTGATCTTCTGATGTAACTGTGGCTTTTAGTTGGGGAACATCTACATGGTAAAGAGTATTTCAAGCACATAAGTGTCTTTTTATAAATGTAGGCAGTAATTGAGAATAACATCACTTAAGGAAAAAACATAAGCAGGCGCTTAACTTTATGCTTATTCAAGGAATTTCATACTTAAAACATATATGAAGTGTTATCTTGTGTAATAGGTACACAGGCAGATTACTGCTTACTGAATCTGGAAAAAAAATATTAAAGAAATTGCACACGAAAATGAGAATTACCAAAAGATATATACATACAGCCCACTTTCTTCTCCAATGAGAAGTACCAAGTATATATGGAAAGTTTTTACAAGTTACACTTTGAGATCTTATTTTTTGCTCTAAGTAAGAAATGTTCATGCTTACCAGTATACAGTGCAAATTAGTCAGGTTGACTACTTCACATACAGCTTTTATTCGGTCTATTAGTTTGGAGAAATAGTGGACCATTTCTTCCCTTTTAATTATTTTTGCATATCGCGGGAAAGTAGGTGGCAGCAGTCTCTGATTAACAAGGGGCTCAAAGCCCATCATAATAGGATGATCTATTGAAGGACGAAGGGAGAGAAAATGAGAGAAAAATTCTCCAGATAAGCTGTTTGAAGAACTCACTTCAAACTTGAAAGTGTAATATAAATTAAACAGCAAGAAGGAACTTTTTAGCTGACAGTTAACTTCCCACAGACACTAACTACCCAACCAAGACAATGATTACTATCTAGAAAAACCCCAGCCTTCAGCACCTCAGTGTATACCTGTACAGACAATGAGGTGGTGTTTCCTATTTTAAAATGGCATATGTAATGATTCAAGTGCAATGCATGTAATCTAAAGTTCACATTATCTCTGGCTTTGAAGTGACAGTATTAGTTTCACAAGAACCATCATTTAGTGAAATAAAATTAAGATAAAACAATGCAAATCTAACAGGTTGTATAACAAGTATTATTAGCTCAAAGTGAATAATGATAATTTTTAAAAAATACACACAGATACTAAAAGTTTATCAAAACAACACATTTAAGAAAAAGAAAACGGTAAAATTTGATGTACCTCCTTTAGTGGTATCATTCTGTGCCTGGATACCATGATGCAATGAATTCTGGATGGCAGAAAGCAAGTCTGCTGCCTGAGTCATTAGTTTCTGAGCTTCTGCAACTGCACTAGTCTGAAAGGCAAGTAACCATTATTTATATTATGTATCTATATATATTGAGTATAGAATTAATGCTAGAATGAGGAAAAACAAGAAGAGTATTAGGATTCTAATGTTTGTGCACAGCCAGGCCTGGGAAAAAAAACAAACAAACAAAAACAAAAACACACCACCAAAAACCAAACCAATGACCAAAACAGATTTTTGTGCAATAACATGTTCTTGATATTTTACCTATCTATACATACATTTAACACTGTATTTTTCGCTACATAAGATAAGCCTTAACAAGAACTACAGCTGAAAGTCTAATATATATTACACGCAAGGCCTCTACTTTTGATTTGGGGGGAGTGTAAAAAAAAAACCCACATAACCCTTCTGCCATGTAAGACAGAAATCCAAACTGCAGAGAGGAAAAAAAAAACCACCAAACACCTATTATTAGAAAAGACAGAATACTTGAGAATATAGACATAATACAACCTATCAACTGAAGTTAAATCACTATATAATATTAGAATATACCAGATGTATTAGAATATACCAGATGTCCATCAGCAAACTTGATTCATGTTCTGCTGTTATCTTCTGGCATCCTACAAATCCAAATCTGTTAGCAAACTAGGTACCATTTAAAGTAGCTCTCAATAAAATTTAAAATCTTGTTTTAAGGATACTGGACTAAAAATGACTGATGGAGCTTCAAATATTTGAAATCTCAAGTCAAACTGAAGCTTGACTTGAGAAAAAAAATTGTTTAAAACCCTCTGAAGATTTTGTAGAAGCTGAACAAAATCTGTAACTCTGCATAATATACGTTCACAGACTATAGTATCCACAAATCTACCAAAAGAATAAACTGCTAAGCATATCTAATTCAAATCAACATAACATGTGATTTAAATAAAGTATAAGTAATCATACTTCAGTGACACTGAGATAATCTGATTTTTGCACAGATAATTAACTGATAGCAGCACAGAATTTGGTTGTACATCAATGTATGTCACTTTTATGTCAGTTCAATTTGTGATATAACTAGTGCAGAATGCAACTACTTTCTATCAACCACTTTTTCCTCAACACTGATATTTATCAATGACAAATACTTGCAAAATCTTTCACTTTAATCAAGGTCTTTTAAACTGTACAGTGCAGCTGCTCCAACAGCAAAATATGTCGGAAAAACCCATGCCACTTAAGAAACTTGTCTATTTCTCTATGAAAATGGAAATAACAATAAGCAATAGATAGATATTTATCTTTGTATGAAGACAAAGCTATTCAAACAAAAAGCTTTGTCTTATGTGATTCCACCCCTTTGCCCTAAAACATGAAGTTCCTTCCTTCTCCCCTCAACAAATGGGAAACCTTATATGCAAAAAGGCAGGGAAATTGCCTGCTTGGAAAGCAGTTATATTCCACTCCTCAGACCAAAGAAGTCTAGATATGGATTTGATACCACATCAGAAGGAAAAGCTAACAATTCTCTAGACTTGGATAAAACATTGCCCCATGCCAAGTAACCCCACAGAAAGAGACTGAACTCAAGAAAGAAAAGGTTTGTTCTTGTGTGTGAAATAGTAATCCAAAACTCAAATATTTTTCTATCAGTGTTCTAGAATAAATATTATATTTCTCTGCAACACCACGATAATGTCAGCAACTAGCCTTCCCTGTTTAAAAAAAAAAATGAACCAAAACTGCATGGTTGCCACTGAAATGCTTTACTTACAGCAACATCAATTCAGATCTACATAATCTACAGAATAATTGCTTGACCACAGAGAATGAAAAATGTGTATTTCACACGATCACAACGTGAACACAAAGACCAAATTAACGTACCTCTTTTTTGGTAAATGCTATTAGAACAGTCAGTAGTACCCGGGTAAATTTGACTCTGCTGAACACAGCTAAGCACTGTTGATGCTGTAATAAAAATACACTGCAAGTTATTAAGCAGTACATATTAAGTCCTGAAAGTTATTAAAAAAAAAAATCTACGGATTTACTTAAGCACGCTCTCTCACCTTAAAAACATGGCATCTAGTACAATTCTAAAGAAAAGTTATATGATTTATAGAAGAAACCTCTACTGCTGTGAGAAAAGCCCTAACACAAAAAACACTAAGATACTTTAGGTAAAGCACAACCATTGGCTGTACAGCTACCTCATATGCAAATGACAGTCAAACCTCATCTTAGGTGAACAACCACAAATTATTAAACTGATTTTCTCTCCTTTTTGCTGAGGATCTGTTAAAAGTGACTTCCGAAGAAAATTACATTACTGGGAAAGGAAACCCACATCCCTCTAAATCAGCCACATCAAATCCATCAATTACCACTTTTTCTGGAAGGAGTTAACACTGCCTTCACTCACTTTTCCTACTTTCTTCTTGACAGGGAGTCTGCCAGCAGCAGTAAAAGCTGCTGGGAAGAGACAGAGGGAAGAAGGTACAGGACAGATGAGACCACCTACTTTGCTAATGGCTTTTTTTTGAGAGGTAGGTGCATAAATGGCAAATTTGCAGCAGCATCACTATTCTGCCCATAGAATAAACCCAGAACAGTATACTTCAAAGTATAAAAACGTATCGGCTAGCCTAGTATTTGTTCAGGGCCATGTTTAATGCATCAACACTGGTGACACATATTCTCACAAGCTGTTACTGATTAAAGGCAATGATAGACTAATCCATGAAATCCATAAAAAAAGGTAAACAATTAATTACTTCAAGTTCAACTTCTGGATCTCTCTCTTCTCCTTGTCGACTTCGAGTGCTCTAGAAGGTAAAGAAATTTCAAATGTTTTTTAAAAATTGCAAAGGGAAGTTACTGAAAATCCCTTTACCTATTTCAGAACATTCATCTCTTAAATAATGCTAAAAAAGCAGTTCTGAAGTTCAAAACTTCTTAACATATAATCTAGGTTCTTGAATGATCCAAGATTCTTCTATAGTAATGAGACCTATCTCAGCCCACTCTGCAAATAGACAATGAAATTGTATGAACATTTTATATTGTCAATTGTGGTAAAAGTAGATTAAGTGACTTTAACATCACACAACATACTTGCATAATAGCCAGAAGTGAAATACATACTTTCTGTGCCCAGCCTAGTGTTGTATTTTACATCATGATTTCACCTACTAGTACGTGAAGCAACTATTAAGAGTTTAGAAAGGTCTGAAAACTTCAGCATCTTCAGCTAGAAGGCAAACTACCAGCATTACAGAATTTCTTCAACAAACCCCCACCGTTTAGTGACACAAACCTGCCCCATTCTTCATAATCTTTCAGTTAGTTGTAACTGAACAGTCAGTGTAACTGACTAAGTGAACATGAGAAAAATACCTTCACTCGTCTTTGCATGTCATCTTCTACATCTTTTAGCATACCTGTAAAAGTCACAGTACAATTAAAAGCTGAGAAGTGTTCCTAGGTACACCTGCACCACTTAGGTGAGAAAAGTATTCAAGGGAAATCAAGTTTTAGTACTTTGCATACCCACTATCCAAAGACAAGACAGAACATATTCTTGTGAGGAATGGTAGGGATGTCTTACAACAATAGACAAATCAGAATACTTACTTTGGACTGACTGATCCAAAGTTAAAGCATTCACAAATTTTCTAAAAATAATTCAGTAAAAAGCTCATTTATTAAAAACAGTACAACAAAAGGCCAGCATCGACACTTACATATGCACCTAACAACATACATATTCATAGCTTTAGAACTACTAGATTGCTTTTCCCTCAAAAGCCATCTGTTTAGATCAAATAGTGAGGCAGACAAGAATTTAAGCAATGCACTTTCGCAGTGGTGCCTGTCTCTCTCAGTCCTGGATGAGCTCATGCCCAGCCAACTGGTGGGTACATCTGAAAGTACTCCTTCCACTTCTCCGACGTTTAACAAAAACAACTGAACATTTTCTTAAAGGAAAAATAATTGTCATGTCTTAATACTAAACCACCGATTTTCACAAGACTAGTAAAAAACGTAAGATCAGATTTCTAACAATTCACTAGGCTTGGGTGAGTGTAACTAACATGTTCAAAAGAGAGACAGATACACAGAAAGCACAAACTGTACCTGTAACTCTAAGATCTGTTACACTGTTGGCCATTTTAAATCCGTAAGTCATTGACTGAAAATCTTCCTAAAAAATAAAAACCAAAGCAGCAATATGTAGTGAAATATAAACAGTAGTATTTACATTTTCAAGTTGGGATTTGGGGATTTCTTTTTGTTTGGTTTAGTTTTTGGGGGGGTTGTGTTCTTGTTGTGTTTTTGTTTGATTTGTTTCAAGTGTTTTTGTTTAACTACACCAAGTATAAAAGTTTGGTTTTCTTCTGCACAACTAAGTATATCTGTGGTTTGGGTGACTTTCCTGTTCAAATCCAGCTTGGGGTAATTATTTTCTAAATAAATTCTCAATACCAGTATGCCCTTCACATTTTCATCAAGCACCACCCTATCAAAATGTTACAAGAACTATGGATGTGAAATACTGTTAATTTTACATACAGTTGGTAAGAACTGACTTGTCCAAGATCACAAGAAACAAAAATTGCTCTAAGCACAGAAACCCAGACTCTGATTCCACTGCTGGATGAACATTTCAGACCAAAGTCAATCATGACTACCTAAAGTAGGAAAATAAAAAATTGAACAGGAAGAAAACCACAAGTCACACTGATTTCAAATGGTTAGCCACAAGACCTGCACTGCTTCTTGAGTAAAGTATTTGTGACTCCATTCCTCAAGTGAATTACAGGAAAGATTATGAAACGCCTTCATTGAAAAAGGCTGCATTTTAAAGAGATAAGTCTAATACTTTTAGGAAGATGTATTGTTGCCCCTAGAGTACTCAATCAAATTGCAACAAATTTCTCTAATATATTATTTTATTTGCATTACGGAGCTATGTATAACATTACATATTTAACCACTGTAACACATACCTCCTCAAAAACAGCTGCTTTGTTAACTTTTTCTCTGGCAATGTCACAGATTTTTAGGATTCCTAGAGCAAAAGCCTTCATAGCAGGATCTTCTATGAAGTCTGGATTATGAATATAAAGGCAAGTGAATACTGTCTGTGCCAAGGAATGTCCCTCTAACCAGGTTATCTAGGGAAAAGAAAATGCAATTAAATGCTTTACTCATGAAAGCCAAGTCCTCATTGTTTTATCTCCATTCTTTTCCCATCTTACTGTGCTTCAGCAAGTTATTAAGGAAGTCCCTAACATGGCAACCTTCCACCTAGCAAAAAAAATGGGCAAGAAGGTCTCTCAGCCTTTGTCCATCTGCTAGCTGTGGCAGGCAGTAAGTTACTAAACCTTCCCACAGTATGAAATTCTGTGCTGGATGAACCTCTTTCACATAGTTAGGTCTAATCTCAGTGACTTAGACATGATACTAAGAAATCTACAGAATTATAAACTTCTTCTATACAAATACAGAATGAAAAATGCAACTGGCAGAAAAATACAACTCAGGAACATTCTGCATGTTCTCTTCTGCAACTTGTAGCTTCTTTTCATGATCCTGTCTTACTTTCCATGCTGCTTTAAGCTACAGGGAAAGCTTCAGTAATTTAAACAATTATTTCTACCTTGAAACAGTGTAAACCATGGCAGGATCAGATTTTTAATGACCACTGATCTGTTTCAAATGGGTCAGTATGGGGCAGTGGGGGAGAAGATGAATTATGTTACACCATATCAAATATACAGTGACCTTTACGTACATTTTTGGACTAAACTAATTTTAAATATTGGTTGTTCTTTTCTTTTTTTAAAGTAATTCTATTGATGTGATTTTAAACAGTAATTGAAAATAATCTGTATAATTTGCTGGAGGAAATTAAGACATACATAGAAAACAATCACAATTAACAAATAACTGATAATTTGCTTATTTCTTTTCTGAATGGATTTAGGTATTTTCTTTTTTTCTTCAAAATGCCTCTGTAAGCTCAGTCAATACTGGCTGCACAGAAACGAGCAAGAGTGCTGTGGGTTACTGCACATTCACTTTCCAACGCATTCAAACACCAATATACAGCAGGCAGTCAGATAGCATACATTTAAAATCCACATATTGTAAAACTTTTCTACAGAATTAAAAATGCTACCAGTTCTCTTCCATAATGATTTCTTGTAATACAAAACCCCAAAACTAAAATTATGCATCTTATAATAGCCAATGTAAATATCTACAGGGCAATTAAAATTCTAAGTATGTGTTTTCTGCTTGGTCAATCTTTTTTTCTTGAGTTCTACTGGGGTTTTTTTCAGTTTTTACACTGGATTAAAGGATTATACTTTGTAAGGAAAATCACCTAATGTTAAGAGCTGGAAATGCTTACCAAACAGCAAAAACATGTATCCATTATTCCTATCAGCTCAGGTGAAGTGAGATCCTTTATTTTAATGGTGCCATCCTTAGAAAACAAAGAAAAAAAACCCCTTAAGACTGTAGAAGTTTATAGGCAAAATACAAGTTATTATTTGTAAAGCCAAAAAGGACTTTACAATTCAGTTCAGACTTAAGATCTGTATACCATTATCTTTACTGATCAGCTTCATAATGTACCTCAAATTCTGAAAAAAATCTGCTTTCCCACCGTGTTGAACACTGACCAAATATAAAGATATCCAAAGAGAAAGCTAAGATAAAATTTCTGATTTGTGAGTAGCAAATAAAAGTTCAAAGGTAGTTAATGGTCAACACTTAAATTACAAAACAGTATGTATAATTGTAATAAAGACTGAACAAAGAATAATATATAGGACCCATTCTTTTAAGACTGAGTTTTACACTGCAGATATTTGTAGATTTATTGCCTTCAAGGTATGGACCAAGGCAGCAGCAATCCTATTGCTTTCATTTTATCTGTCCAGCGTTTGCAACTCTGCATGCATTCTTATGACTTAGATGGCCAATATTTTAGACAAAGTTAGCTTAGTCCATTCAAAATAAGATCCACAATAAAAAATATCTTTCCTTTTGTGAATGCATTATTTTTTCCAAAATAACAAAGTCTTTCAACATCCCTCCACCAATTTATCTTGACTGTGCATCAATAGTTAAGCATTACTAATAATGTTATTAAGTTAGCCAGCTTCTCTTCAAGGCTAATGAACCACTATGTCTCATAAAGCGTAAATTTCCAGCTTCTGTAAGGAAGCTGGTTTTTATCCAGCTTAAAGAGGAATTAACTGATACATCTTCATAAAAAAAAAAGACACATTTGGGGAGGCAGAAGGTAACTTGAAAAAAAAACCACACCAGTTCTGAAATGTATTTATCTGAGTTATTGATACCACCAAAATTCACAGTACTTTTCACTGGAAGAGTTATCATCATTATGATAATGTAAGTGAGAAAAGAGGTAAATATCACAAGCTATTTTCTTATTTAGCTATCTAAATTAAAGAAGAAAACCCAAATTTAAAGTAAAGATTGGAAACACTAATTATGCTGAACTGTGCTTAACTGCCATTTAACAAAACTGTATCACACTTTTACAGATAGTATAATCAAAACCAGGGAAGTCACACAAACCTTAATAGCTTGCTCAAAGTTAAGAACCTTCCTATTCACTTGGTTTCCAATCATACCAGCATCCATCTTGGGATCCATCATTTCTATGGCAGACATGGCTTCAAAAAGACCAAACCTAAAACACCAATAAAAATACGTTCTGAATGAAGTTACTGTATACAAGACAGTCTTTATAAAACGGTGTAAAAGAACCTATGTCAACAAACTGAGCACACTGTATCCTGGCTACAGACAATAAAGAAAGGTATCTGAACATCACTACTGATCTTCAGAGATCATGGTTTTTCATGAATTTGAGGACCTCTTCACAAGTAAAAAAAAAAACAACAGATGGCTACAAGAAAACAGCCTTTTCTGAAAATTGAAGAACAGTCCTGAGCCAAATATCCCACTACTAAAGCTATGTGCACTTCACAGTATCACAGTATGTTAGAGATTGGAAGGGACCTCAAAAGATCATCTAGTCCAATCCCCTTGGTGAAGCCATGTTGACTGCCCCTCATAACCCTCTTATCCTTGATATGCCTTAAGATGGCACCAAGGATAAGGTGTTCCATCACTTTCCCAGGAATGGAGGCGAGGCTGACTGGTCTATAGTTACCCAGGTCCTCCTTCTTGCCCTTTTTGAAGACAGGAGTGACATTTGCTTTCCTCCAGTCCTCAGGCACCTCTCCTGTTTCCCAAGACTTGGTAAAGATGACGGAGAGCGGTCCAGCAATGACCTCCGCCAGTTCCCTCAGCACCCGCGGGTGCATCCCATCTGGACCCATGGACTTATGGATGTCCAGATTGCTCAACTGGTCTCTAACCCATTCCTCATCGACTAAGGCAAACCGCTCCGTTGACCTGTCTTCATCTGAGGTCTCAGCGGTACAGGGCTCTTCAGGACTGCCTCCGGCAGAGTAGACAGAGACAAAGAAGGCATTCAGTAACTCTGCCATCTCTGTATCTTCTGTCACCAGGGCACCCGCCCCGTTCATCAGCGGGCCTACATTGCCTCTGGTGTTAGTTTTATCTGCCATGTATTTGAAAAAGCTCTTTCTGTTGTCCTTGACCCTTCTCACCAGCTTCAATTCCAAGGAGGTCTTAGTCATCCTAGCTGCTTTCCTATATTCTCTAGCAGCAGCCTTATATTCCTCCCAAGTGGCCAGCCCTTCCTTCCATGACCTGTAAACTCTTCTCTTCCACTTGAGCATACCCAGCAATTCCCTATTTAGCCACGCAGGTCTCCTGACCCTCTTCCTTGACTTCCTACGTGTCGGGATGCTCCGATCTTGAGCTCAGAAAAAGCAGTCCTTGAACGTCAACCAACTATCTTGGGCCCCTTTACCTTCAAGCAGCCTAGCCCATGGGATTTCCCCTAGCAATCGCTTGAAGTGGCCAAAGTTTGCCCTGCTAAAGTCCAGGGTTGCAATTCTACTTGCTATTCTACTGGCCCTACCACACAAGATCCTGAATTCCACCATCTCGTGGTCGCTGCAACCAAGACAGCCCTCAACCTTCACTGCTTCGATCAGACCCTCCTTGTTAGTGAGGATGAGATCCAGCAGTGCACCTCTCCTTGTTGGCTCATCCACCATTTGCATGAGGAAGTTATCATCCATACACTGGAGGAACCTCCTGGACTGCGGCTGGATTGCTGAGTAGTCCTCCCAGCAAACATCAGGGAAGTTAAAATCCCCCACGACGACCACGGCCTGTGACTGTGAGGCCGCTCTCAGCTGCCTGTAGAAGGCCTCATATAAAATTATATCTCAAAACTCTCATTGATTCTACTAAGTAACGACGTGGTGACATTCTTGCATATATCTTTAAGCAGGCTTGCATTTCACCGAATGGTTTTGGTTGGAAGGGTTATTAAAGGTCACCCAGTTCCAACCCTCCTGCCATGGGCAGGGACACCTTTCTTTAGACCAGGTTGCTCAAAGCCCTATCCAACCTGGCCTTGAACACCCCCAGGGATGGGGCAGCAACAACTTCTCTGGGCAGCCTGTGCCAGTGCCTCACCACCCTCACAGTAAAAAGCTTCTTCCTATTATCAAATCTAAACCTGCCCTCTTTCAGTTTAAAGCCATTCCCCATTGTCCTGTCACTACAGTTCCTTGTAAAAAATGCCGCCTTCTCAGATTTCCTGTAGACCCTTTAGGTATGCAAAAGCTGCTCTAAGGTCTCTCCTGCAGGCTGAACAAGCCCACCGCTCTCAGTCTGTGCCATAGCAGAAGTGCTCCAGCCCTCTGAGCATCTTCGTAGCCCACTTCTGGACTTGCTCAAGCAGGTCCATGTCCCTCTTGTGTTGAGGGCCCCAAAGCTGAAGACAGTACTGCAGGTGGAGTCTCACCAGAGCAGAGGGGCAGGATCACCTTCCTCAACCTGCTGATCACACTCCTTTTGATGCAGCCCAAGACACAGCTGGCTTTCTGGGCTGCGAACACACACTGCTGTCTCAACACCCTTAAGTCCTTCCTCAGGGCTGTTTTTAATTTATTCTCTGCCCAGCCTGTAGTTGTGCTTGGGATTGCCCCAAAACAGGTACAGGATCTTGTACTTTACCTTGTAATTTAATAATTGCAATTATTAATTTGTAGTAATCTAACAGTGTGATTCTGTTTACTGATCTATTATTCCTAAAACTGGCACAGGCTGCCCAGAGAAGTTACGGCTGACACACCCCTTGCAGTGACCAAGGCCAGGCTGGACAGGGTTTTCAGTAACCTGGTGTAGTGGAAGGTGTCCCTGCCCAGGGAAGGTGTCCTTGCACATGGCAGGGAGGTGGGAAATGAATGATCTTTAAGGTCCCTTCCAATTCCAACCATTCTACTAAATAAGCACATTTTTCTTATTCAATTTTTCCTATTCAGCAGACTCATGTGGCTAAACAATTTTATCTTTAAGGTATGTTAATCTTGCATCATGTTTTAATGAATTCAAGAAGACCTGATCACATGCTTTTCTTTAATATATTTTTTCTTAATCTGTAGAGCTTTCCATTGGTATTTTACCATGTCATTTAAGAGTTATTTTAAAGCATACCGATTTTTACCCTAAACTTGTTAGTGACATTTAAAGCAAGCAAATTTAAAATCTTAAAGTCTTTCTGGCATTTTTTTTTAAAGTATGTCCAAATAAAATAGCTCATAAGTGTCAACACCACTGATCATAATATGTGTTACCAACTTCTAAACTGCACTGATTAATTGAAAATATAATACTGGCACAATAAGAAATGTTCAGCATGTTAAGAGGTGTATTGTGTACCTACTGCTGAAGGCAAATGATATACTTCAACTGTTTTATTTAAGGTAAAAGTTTAAAAAAGCTTCGTTGATACTGCATGACTTATTAGTAAATATTTAAATACTGGCACTAACCCTATCTAAAAATCAGAACTATCCCACAGGCATACTTACAGCTTGTCATGAAGCAGTTCTCCTAATTTCAGTTCTACAAAGAAAGAGAACAGGATAAGCAATTAAAGTCATCCTTTTAGTGCAAATCTTCCAGGATACACCTGTCACTCCCAAACTGTCTTATACCAATACAGAACAAGGTGTGGGACACAGACCAAGTATTGCTACTCTGCCTTAATTTACTTTCACTTGAAAGCTCTTTCAAGACTGCAAGTCTAAGAAGCCCAGTTGCTCAGTCTTTCCTCATCCCTCTCTGCTATTCCAACAGTTAAAGGGGTTTTAGAATTACCTAGTAGCATCTGAACAGCCTGGAACACAGAACAACAATTTTCTGTGCTTCTCCATGCAAAAGTCAGATTTTTTTCTAGGGAAGTTTACTGAAAGACTTGCTTTTCCTCTTTACTTTTAATGAAGCCTTTAGATGTGTTTTGTAGGTACACAAACAGGAGATCACTAAGATCAGAAAACGTACAGGACAAAACAGTGTTGATTATGCATGGATGAATGAGGTTTCCATTTGGCAGAAGAGATTGCAAAAAAAAACCCCACACCACACAAAGATAAAAACAGGTGTGAAAGTAGGTAAGATGAAAAAATACAACTTGAAAAAGATACTTATGTAACCTGGAAGAGTAAGCAAGGTGAGGTTCTTTTGATATTTTCAACCTCACAGTTAACTTACACAGGAAGTTCTATGGAAACACAGAATCAACGTACTCTGTTCATCTGGAGCCTGAACCTGAGCCAAACTATCGCTTAAAACACCTCAAAAAACTATACTCAGTTCTCCAAAGGACAATTCCAAGTCTTCTCAGAACACAGCAGTACAACTCACCTCTACAAGCTTCTTCAAAATCCTGTGTTATATCTACCCAGCTTGTATTACTCTTTTCCATCTTGTCAGGCATACCAAGTTCCCATCCTGAATCATCATCTTCTACTGTCGCTTTCATAACCATGATACTGCACCTTTAAATCCATATCAGAGACAATGCACATTGTGTACAAATTAGAGAAAGTGCTTATGAGACTTTTTTCCTCTTTTGAAGAATCAGGTGAGAAAAGCTAACTAACCCGATTTCAGCCCCCCCCCCCCAAAAAAAAAGACAAAACTGATTTTAAAGTTTTCTTGGTCACTATTTCTCTGCACCTACCCTATAGGCTATGAAACCTCTGTCACTAAAGACACCAGAACTCTAGCAGTTTTAGTGTCCTTAACAGAACCATTACAAAGTGTTTTATCAAATCATAAGTTAAATGGGCAACAGTATCAAATCCTCTTGATGTAGATAACACAATCTTTTTGTTGTTGTTTCACACTATCAGAAATACACGAGGAATCAAAGAGGGAACTGTAAAACTGACCACGTTTGTTATTTGCACAAAGTGTATCTGAACAAGTTTGTGAAAACAGGCATATTCCCCCGGACTTCAGAAGAAAGTAATATCAGAATTACCGCAGGAATGTTAAACATATAATTTTCAAACTTCCACCGACTACTTATCTCAAACGGCTATTGTGCTTTTGCAATCTTGCGATACGCCGGGCAGCCCCGAAAGACTGCACGTTCTGCCGGTCAGTCTGTCTGCGATCGATACCAGCAGCGCTAAATTTCCCCTTACCTGGTCGGAGATCTTCCAAGGGTCACCTTCGAGCCCGGCAAGCTCTAAACAGCCCCTCCAAAGCCGCCACGGCCGCTTTACCCAGACCCTCCCGGCGCTCCCCTTCCCACATGTCACGCGTCCCCACGCCCGGCACTGTCTCGTCCCCGGCTGCCCGGTCGCTCCCCGGGCCCTGCCGAGGCACAGAGGCGGCAGCCAGCCTGAATCATGCCGGGTCTCTCCTACCCCACCGCGGACAGGCACCCTCTGGGGCCCTCCTGCCCCGCCGCGGGGCAAAACCGCTGCGGGGCACAAGTGCCGCGGGCTCACTCCATGCTCCCTCCTTGGCTGTTTTTGCCTGGCAAGACGCTAAGCAGTGGCTCTACCCCAAGCGGATGAGGCGGCGACCCGCCACCGCGCGGGGCAGGGGCCCAGCCGAACTCACCGCCTCAGCCGTTCTCGGTCTCTTGCTCACCGGCACCGCCCGCCAGCTCCCTCCTTCCCTCAGAGCGAACCCGAGACGCGCGCACGCGCACCCCGCTGCCAGCCCGCGAGCCTATCGTTGGTGTTCCCGGCGCAAGCGCACTCCGCCTCCAGCCTGGGCTCGTGCGCGCGTGCGCCAACAATCGGCAGCGGTCATGCGGCTGTCAGGGGTGAGGAGGGCAGGTGGAAGTCCCACGAAGGGGTGGGCTGGGGCTAGTCGGTACGCGGAAGCCGTGGGTCTGCAGAGCTCGGTGCTGGGGAGGGTGCCCTGAGCCACCCGTTTGTGTGGGAGCGGCGCGGGGGTGGGGGAGAAGGGAGGAACAGAGGGAGCCTTTCCCCGTAGACCAGGGACCTGGGAACGCTCGGCTTGGTCTGAGAGAACACTGAGAAGGAGCCTGGTGCCTGACGGCGGTGCGGGCGGGTGGGATGCGCTCCCTGAGCCAGGGTCAGGGGCTCCGTCCATAGATCCGACCCAGATGCTGTTGGCGAGCGCTCCCGCTGGCAGCTCGCGGCTCTGCAGGCATCCGCGGTCCCCGATCGCGGTCCCGTTGCTGGCTTCTCGCCCGCTGGTCGCACCTCGCTGCGAATCGGAGCTTGCCGAAGACGCAGTGCTGACTGCGGGGTTTTGGGAGTCGTGGGTGAGCGGGGCGGGTGGCGCAGCTATGCGGTCCTTCTGGCAGTGTGCCGAATTTGAACTGCCGAATTTGGAAGAAGACTTAAGGCGATTTTTTTTTCCTTATTTTTCTCCCGTGTCAGACGTTTCCTCTTTTTCTTTTTGTCCTCACTGATTTAATGAAGCAGATCTGCTAGAGATTACGTAACTGTTTCTCTGCAGAGTGAACTGGGATATGCTGATTATCTCTTTTGTCAGGGGGGAACCAGCGGACAAAAGATGTCTAAGGGAACTACATTTCAGAGCCGGTTTTACAGTGGGTTGGATATTTTATTTTTCTTTTCAAAATGCATAAACAATGCTTGCAGTGTTTCTAGCAAAGATCGCCAGCAAAAGACAGCGGCTAATCTAATTTACTAACCAAATAGAGGCTAGCTTAAGCAGATTTTGCCTTTGGGGTTATGAGAAGTAGCTAGATTTTAAAATTAAAACATTAACTTCTCCCATCACCCTTTCTATTCATCGTGTGCTCAAAGTACAGAGCATTTGTATGTGGAGGAAAGCAACAGGAGAAAGCTCAGTATGAACTCCTGTTAAACCAATGACAGTACCTACTTCATATGTCAGCATTGCATTTAGTTCAGTGGCTGTTGGAAATGCCTGATGGTTCATAGTTGAACTGTACTTACATTTAATTTTTTGCGTTAATCATAGAATCTTAGAATGGTTTGGGTTGGAAAGGACCTTAAGATCATCTGGTCCCAGCCCCCTGCCATGGTCAGGAGCACCTCACACTGTATCAGGTTGCTCAAAGCCCTGTCCAGCCTAGTCTTGAACACTGCCAGGAGTGAGGCAGTGAGGCATGCACAACTTCTTTGGGCAACCTGTGCCAGTGCCTCACCAGCCTCACAGTTAAGAACTTCTACCTCATATCTAACCTAAATCTTTCCTGTGTAAGTTTAAACCCACTACCCCTTGTCTTACTGCTGCAGTTCCTGATGAATTCCTCTCCAGCATCCTCGTAGGCCCCTTCAAATATTGGAAGACTGCTATGAGCTCTTAATGCAGCCTTCTCTTCCCCATATATGTAACTCCATCTTGTAATGATCTCAAGGTTACGGCAGCAAAGAGCAGATCATTATTGTTAAACCTGATAGTGGTTAAAACATCTGTAAATGAAAACTAGTTGTATCTTTAATGCAGAAAACAGTCGTACTTGGACCAGCACTCTGTTCTGTAAAAAGACTGTTGATTTTCTGGGGAATTCCATTCTGAAATTCAAAAGAGAAGGACTATAGCCCATATAATAATCTGTAATAATCATTTAATTATGAAATTAACAACCTTCCCCCCATATATAATGAAAATTAGTTTCTGAAAAGGTGGTATGTTTAAAGCTTGTCACAAATGCATTACCAAATACATGTTTGTGTTAGTGCACAGGCTAAATGGTGACAATTATGAGCTGGCTTTTGTGAAGTAATCGTGGAGATCTCAGTCCAATTCTTAACAAACCAATGAAGGGAGGTCTCATAACTAGCTCTAAGCAACTGCCACTTCTCTTGCAAAAATACTAAGCATCAAAAATGAACAGCAAATTGGTTATGTGTGTGTCAAATGACTGTAGCAGTTTAAAAGTTAACATATGTTCACTGCAGTAACCGCTAAGCTGAGATACTTTGAGAATGTCAAAGCACTTTGATATGATACAACGAAGCGTGTTGATAGAGCGCTGTAAAGGCCTGATCTAAGTTCTGGTACTTCTGATACTCACATGGGAACATCCAGAGAAATAAAATTGCTTTTTACTGAGTTTTAGGTTCCACACATAGAATTATTATTTTTTTAATAGATGACAAGTTACTAGTATTTAGAATGCCTTGGTGTTTAATGCAAAAGTATCCTTGTTTTCCTTAGTCAAGCACATACGTGTAGGATCCTTAAGGTAGGCCTCAGTGTTCAGCAAAACAGAAAAGCAACTAGGTAATTCTTTGTGGTTGTGTCTAAAATGTGTGCTTCCTTCTTGAAGGGAGAGTACATAAAGTGTAAGAGTTATGAGGAACTTGCTTCAACATTAATTAAATATCTTTGTTTCTGTAATACAGTAAGAACACATCATCATCATCATCATCATATACTTGAATAGGCTGCTTAGTTTAAGAAAGCTTCAGCTAACAATATACTGGTTTAGGGTGTAATCAGTTGACTACCTGCTATTTTTGTCTTTTCAAAATGATGTTACATTAATTTTGAAGGTACTGATGTATTTTGTATGAGTTTGTAATACAGAGTGCCTATTTTTACACTGCAGAAACTCATACTGAAGCATGGTGAATTTCTTAAGGATGCTTAAGAGGAAAAACGAGGAAACTTGTCCTTTGCTGTTCAGTTTAAGAAAAAAAAATCCTGTAAAAGGAGCTTTGACTAGCATAAGCAAAAAGGCAGTCTTTGAAGTACTGTGTGCACAAAGGTCAGTGAAATAAAATGGAAACCACAATTTACTAATAAGTTTTGTCTTTTTATAATGTATTCTCATGCTGTGCATCCTATTCTTAAAATGTGCTAAATAAATGGAAGCAGGTTTAATAGTTAAATCTTCATTTACTCTAAAAATCATGAATCTTAAGAGAGTCCCAAATTGACTTGTTTGTACAAAATTTGTTTATACTTTTCTGAAAAACACAGAGAACCTTCCCTGTCCCTCCAGAAACATCTTTAGTCCATCATGGGAAGAGAGGTCACCTACTGCAAGTTACTGTCAGTTAGCTTTACCCCCAGAAGTAGGGATCAGTTATTTTTGAAGATTATTTTTTATCTTTTACACTAGTTAAAGTACCGCTGATTTTTCAGGAGCTTACCATTGATTTGGATGCCTTTATTAACAGAAATAATTGGTGCAGGGAGAAAAGGAAAATGGAGGCATATGAAAGTATGCAAATACTTTCACAAACTGAAAGATTTTTTTCAGCTGGCCAAAGTTTATTTTAAGTCTTGCTGTTCTTTAATGTGCCTGTATATTAATAAAATTACAAGATTCAGATTGTTTCAAATTAAGGATCTGTTTTAAAACAAAACCAAAATACCTGAAAAACTGCCACAATTTGCAGGTTCACAGTACTTACCTGACACCTTTGTTCTAAGACAAGCTGTCAGAAGCTGGTGTATTGATTTAACTAAAAATAATAGTCAGGGTATGAAGAAGTAGCAACATATTGCCCTCAGTGCACAAATGAAATGACATGCATGCATTTTTATTTTAACTGTGAGTGTGGAGATTTTTGTTTGTCTGAAGCACATGAGATTTGCTCTGGATTTTGGTTAGGTTTTTTTTGTGTTAATGCCCTACCTATGTAAATTAAATGTGATTGTCAATAGGCATATGGTTTGGTTCAAGCTTTCAAAACATTCTGTATCACTTTAGACATTTGTCCCCTTCCTTCCTTCAAAACCAACATCCCGTCCTTCCCACCCCCAAACGCCAGAACACTTACGAAAATACCCACCAGGGTACAAATATGTATGTTCTTAATTACATTGTGCAAAGAATATTGATTTATTATTTCATTTGTAATATTATAAAAGCAAGAGTAGATGAATGAACCACAGATGTGAAGTTGAACTGAAATGCTTTTGTATGCATTGAAATATACATGTAACAGAGCACAAAAGATCTTCTCAGAGGTAAAAAAGAGCAGAAGCTGGAGAAGTACCAAGTATTCTAATGATTACGGAGGAATGGCATATCTAAAGAGCCAAAACAAATTATCTAGTGTGTATGTGAAGACAAGTATTTGCTTTCAAATGAGGAAGTGGTTATTTTACAGAGTTAAGGAGAGCTGGTAGCTGCATTCATTATCTTGAACTGACTGGATATGTTCAGTAGGTAGAGGTATGGCAACTGGTGAGGTACACTTAATTAGTGCAGCTTAAGATTTAATAGGAAACAATGAGTAAGCAGGTGATAACTACAGGGGAGGAGGATAGAATTCAATAATGCTTACGCATTGCTACCCATTACAGTATTTTGAAGAGCCTTTTCTCATTCTCCCTGCTTTTTCGTGCTCCCAGAGGGGATAATCATTAACTTTTAACATTATTTGTGGTTATTTTAGCTGTATGGTCTGATCCTGGAAGTCATACTATACTGCTTACATAGTAGCAAATGTTGATTTAATGGACTATAAACATACAGTCGGGAGTGGGGAGCCTGTCTTTGTCTGAAAACTTGCGTCTGAATAAACGTCAGCAGTGTTGCTTGATTCATTGCTTGTATTGCCTTGTCAAAAATACTAAATGAATGCAATGTGATTTGTGTAAACTAAAAAGGCAGCTTATATGTTTACGACACTGGACACTGCTGATGTCCTTGCCTTTCCACATTGTGTGTAGATTGACATAGGTTTATTACTTTTTTTCTAAGTGTTTGGATTGTCCTG